CAGTAGAGACAGTAATAAGATCTGACTTGAAAAGTTTGCAGCCCAGTTTAAGAATTTCCAAATGAGAATTATTACCCAGAATAGTTACTGAACTGCCAGAATCTAGTAAACCAGATAAAGTTAAGTTATAAATTTTGACATTAACGAATGGACGATTAAGATCTTGTTCCTTGGAGTAGAGTGTAGAAGAGATTCTGTAACAAGAAAAGAAGTTTTGAATTGTTTTAATCCAATTAGTCCAATCGTCGTTATCAAAGTTTAAGTTACTTTTCAAGTCAGTAGTTAGTTTTTTTGAACTAGTATTAGGTTTGGGAGAACAAGTAGGGCAATCTGCAGTTTTAAAACCCTTAAGACCACATTTGAAACAAATCACGAATCGTGGTTGAGTACAAGTGTTCAAAGAATGTCCTTGTTTACGACAGCGAACACAAAAGGAGGTTTGTTGAGGAGCTTTAGTTTGAGAGAGACTATTAACTTGTCTAGAAGGGTATTTGTAGGATGGAGTGAATTTATTCATGAGGGGAGGAGAGGGTCGTGAGTTATTAGAAGAATTTGGAGAGTCAACTGAACTTGAAGTGGAATGCTTGTAGTTGAATTCAGAAATAAGAGGACTTTGTTGTACATTTGGTTCTTTAAATTGTTTGTCTCTGTCTAGGAATTTTTCATAGTTTTGGCAAGTAGCCAGTAGAGAGTCGATAGAGTCAATGTCTTTTAGAGCTACGAAGACTGAATAACATGGGCGAATATTCCTTAAAATAATCTCCAATTGTTCTGTTTCAGAAAGTTTCTTCGAAAGACGAGAAAACATTCCAGACATGATGGAAATATAGATGACAATAGGTTCATCTCGACCTTGAGTTCGATTCCTAATCGCTTCTAAAAGTTTGTGATCATAATCAAAACCACCAAAGTCTTTGATTAATAACGAAGAAAGTTCGTTCCACGTTAAGTTTGGATTCTGATTATATTTAAATCTGAACCAATGAAGAGCATTGTCAGTGAAAATTTCAAACGCTTGTGAAATCAACAAGTCTTTGGACAAGCCACGAGCTATACAGTATTCTTCCAGTTTTTGAAGAAAGGATCTTGGACAGCTTTTACCATTGAAGGTGTGTCTTTTCAGATCTTTGAAGACGTTGGTTGGAGAAAAAGATTGAGGTGGTGGTGGAGGATACGGGGTATGGACCTGAATAGAATTTTGAGAAACAAGAGGGAGTTCCGTGACAGTCGGGTCAACCGTGACAGTCGGGTCAACAGGAGGGTCAAGTGATGGAGGGTCATTTTCAATTGGAGCTGGAGACAAGGATTTAAATTGTTTAGTAATATCGTCATATTTCATCTTCAAAGTATCGAAAATAGCTTTAAAGTCTGGATATAAGTCAGTATCTATTCGTTCCAATCTGTAAAAGATATGATTAATAAAAGTTTCTATTAGTCGCAAGTATTTGGTTTCGCCTTGTAAACATTTTTTAATTTTACAGTCCAAGTAGGTCAAGGTAGAATCAATTTGAGACAAGTCATCCTCAATCGGAATTGTAGAAGTCAGAATATCTTCAGGGTGAGAATTCGCAACTAAACGCAAAACCTGTTTTTTTAGAAGTAAAACAGTATTAGCTGGTTCCTCACATCTAATCTTCACTTCGTATTCGAGTTCGGCCTTGTTAAGAAATTCGTACTTAATAACCCTTTTCATTGTTATAATTATGTGTAAAGTTAAGTTTAAGAAATAAAAATTTAATTAAAAATTATACCTCTTTAAGTTATCTAAAATAAAAATATTAAAGTGATGGATGTAAGTAAGGTGTTAAATGTAGGTCTAAATATAATCTAGATAAGTTGAAAAACTAGATGAAGTTTTGTTCTAGAATAAAAATATTAAAGTGATGAATGTAAGTGTTGTGTGAAATGTAGGTCTAAATATAATCCAGATAAGTTGAAACACTAGATGAAGTGTTGTTTTAGAATTTGGAAGGTATGAAAAGGATGAATAAATGAATGATGAATAATGAGTTAAGAACGAAAGGGAGAGCAATTAAATCAAAAGGGAATGGACAAGGCGCAGTAAAGGTGAAGAATTAAGAGAGAAAGAGGACTTTTACGTTGGGCGCCAAATGTCGTGAAGCGACAGTAAAAAAAATAAAACCTAACCTAAGTACAACAAAACAACAAAAGTAGAGCCAGAAAACAATATATTTAAATTTATAAAAGGTATTTACAATTTTATAAAAAAATGATGTGAGGATGATGGTGGATGAAGTGAGAATACAATTAGATTATAAAAAAAAATAAAGGTGAGAGAATAGGGGAATATAGCGTTGAAGTGGGGCCTAAAAGTCGAAGCGACACACGTTGCGTTTGTAGAAGTAGGTTTCTTAGCAGCGACGGCACGCAGCGCCTGAAGCCAGCACACGCCTTTTGCGCTTGTAGAAGTAGGTTTCTTAGCAGCGACGGCGCGCAGCGCCTGGAGCCAGTACACGCAGCGTCCGGAGCCGGCGCACGTAGCGCCTGGAGAAGGGGCGCGCAACGCTTAGAGCTAGCAGTTGCAGCGCCCAAAGGTAGCGCCGGCGGTAGGTGCACTCGGCGCCTGGAGTAAGTAGTAGTAGTGCCCGGAGTAGTGTGGCCCCCGCACTTGTAGTAGACTCGAAGCGACTCCCGAGGTAGATGGAGGCTGGTAGGATCCCGGAGTGGCGCGGCCCGAGTTTGAAGAAGGCTTCGCCGAAGACTTCACGTGTAAATGGAGGCTTGCAGGATCCCGGGGCAGTGCGGCCCCGGGATAAGACCTTTAGGAGATACTTCTAATTCGCGAACTGAAGCGAGACTGCCTTTCTTCACCGATTGTTCGGCTTTTATACCTTTCTAGAGAGAACGGAAAAATTATTTAAATTATACGCAAATTTTTTGTAAATGGTCAAGAGAAAAGAGGATTTATGTGGAATTATCGAAATAGGAATAATAGATCGGTAGCAAATTTGAATATAATTACCATGGAAACGATTTAAATAAGAAAGACAAAACATGTCAAATTTTTGTTTTAGGTTTATAATAAGAAAACTATAAGATTTAAGTGGAAAATGAGATATTATTGATATAGGAAAAAAGGTAGCGCAACTGCCCACACAAAGTCCAAGATTGTAGAGTTACGGAAAACTAGCTAAAAGATCGAAAAAAGGTAGACTCCATTGACACCAATTTATAAGTGCTGATAATGTGAAAATACGAAGTAGAAATGATTTGTTATTGTGTTCTTATGGTTTAAAATCGTTACAGGATCCTATGGAAATAAAGGTGATGTAAAATATCCAGTTTTGAGGTGAATGCAGAAAATCGAAACAGAATGGAAAAATGAATTTAAAATAATGTAAAATGATACGTGAGTAGCATAACACTACACGGTCACAACACTAAGGCAAAGATCCCAAAGATATAACAGACATGTCATTGTAATAGGTCCTGTGGGAATATTAATCAACGATTAATTCGTGTTTTTGAGAGCATTTTTCGAATATATAGTGAAACTTGGTACTTACGAATAATACTTATTGTCATAGTGTACGGAAAACATAGTAATTATTTAGGATTGTGAATTTGATTTTTCTATTTCTTACGTCGACGTTCATACAAAGTTATCGCGGCATGTATAATCAGAAACGTCAAATCGGGCTTTTTGGATTGTCGCGAGTATAAAGACGAGGATATCCGTAGTAAAACCAGAGTAACCGACATAGCCCAAAGGATTAGTAAGGTGAAGTGGCAGTGGGCCGGCTATATAGCTCGAAGAACCGACAACCGACGGGGAAGAAAGGTTCTCGGGTGGCAGCCTCGTACTGGCAGGAGAAGTATAGGACGTCCACCCACTAGATGGAGTGACGACCTGGTAAGACATGTAGGAAGTCAATGGATGCACGTGGCTCGGGACCGTGCTTTGTGGCATTCCTTGGGGGAGGCCTATGTTCAGCAGTAGACTTGTGAAGGGCTGTAATGATGATGATAATGAAGAAGTGGGAATTCCTATAATATTACAGGATTGTTATAATACAAATACAAAATCAATATAATGTCAAATGTTTATGTCAATCAAATCAAAAATCAATTTTGACAATAAATCATCAGTAGCCCATGTCCTCAATGTATTGATCTATTTTATAGTAGGAAATAAACAACAGTACGCCCCTTGATGCAGTAGTGCGAACTTAAACTTGTTTATATAGCACATTAACTAGTGCTATAGCTCACAAATTAGTAAATAATTAAGGATTCTTATTCTAGACAACATAAAATCTGTGGATTTAAAAACAATATTAGAAATTTTATACTATCAAATATAATGCGTGTGGTTACATTAGTTTATTTTAATTAATTGAACCACCATGTAAAGACCCACCTAAATTTGATCGCAATGTTAAGTTTGAGAAACAATTTGATAAAGTCATCGATATATAATATGTACTACGCACTAGATATCGCATTCCGAACATTGACTATGTTCAACTCAACTGTACTGCAATCAAAGTAAATTGAAGATTTGTGAATACCATAAGATAATTATTATTACATTTTATTTAGAAATATGTTTGTTTAGATTTAAATAAGATATTTTATATTAAATTCTTATATTTATTTTATATTAATATCTTATTTTATATCAAATTAAAACCTTCGCACATGCGCGACTACTACTCCCGCACATGCGCGAAGACATAGAGTAGTACACAATTTTTGTTTGGAATGGCTTCTCTAGTACGTAGTAATGTCGATGGATAAAGTAAACAAAAGTAAGCTGTAGTAACATAAATATCATTCTTGTAATGAACAAAGTCATAGAGATAGAGAGGCTGGAGTATGTGATAAGAAGCATATTATGACTAAATGAACTCAAAAGAGAACGATTGATAAAAAAAATCCGGATGGATCACGTAAATAAAGACAGTAGCTTGAGTGGTAGAAAAACTAATAGTACATATAATTTCATCATAAGTGAATAAATTACTGATAAAACATACCTTTTTATTAGATCACTAGTGTCATTTTCGACGGTGGCTTCCCCTGTCGATTTCTTCGGTGAATTATTCTGCATTCCTACACTACTATTAACACTTAAATCAGTCTTATAACTTTTGACCGGCGTCCGTCTCTCTGTCTGTTTCTCCTCTTTACAAATATGCGTACTAATTGAAGCTTGTGTACATACTACAATTTTGGGTAAATTACTTTCAATAACCAAACGACATTGAACTTTATTATCAGTGATGTAAACACCACGTTCGGACGGCAGTAACGTTGCGGAAACAACTTTGAAACAATCGTTGAGCTCCGTCAATACAGGATCGCGTCTGTCTGAGAGATTCTCTCGGATAGATTTCATCATATCTTCAAAATAGAAATTTCTGACTAGAATCTCCAATTCAGCTGTGCTTGCTATCCTTGCAGAGAGCTTTATATACCTGAAATATCACAATCATCATTAATTACTGTCTTTTCTGAAACTGCTACAACGATTTTTACAAAGTTAACTCTGATTTCGATATTTTACATTTTAAAATATAAATTTAGGGTGATAAACGAGTACATAGTTCACCTGATGGTAAGATGTTGCCTTAAAGCGTAAGCCGTAAGCCCTCCCTAATTTATACAGTCCACTTTATTACACGCTAATAGTGACTAACATTTTTTTTTATGGGGAAATGCCCGCTTCCCGGGGACAAGGACGGGTTATGTCGAATGTGTTCCAGCCTCGCCGCACATAGACAGGGCGACAGGAACGTTTTCGCGGCCCTCCTCGGGAGAGGCCTACTTCTCCTTCATTTCCTTCTCAGGTATTGATATTACGAGAACACATGGCGCGCCTTCCTCCGTGGCCTCCAACTTCATCTGCACATGTTCCAGACGGATGTAATCCAACGTCCCCACAGAGATAAGACCTTGGTGGAAGGTTGGTTTCCATTCGCGGATTGTGTTTCGGCTACACGGATCACAAACAAGCTTCAACATGGTCGAGCTTCACTGTGAATCGCGTTCGCGTAGAATTAAGTAGTAGAAATGAATCCTAATTTGTCCGAATTTTAATCCCTTAAGCATGGCAAATCTCTATAGAGATCGATTAATTTACTTATAACTTCGCGTTCGCTTTGCTGGTCGGTGGATGACATTTTGCACCGGCATACGTGCGCACCCGCTGCCTGCCGCAGCACAAATGTCTTTGGTAAGATGAATAGAATAGAATAGAATAGAATATTTTTTTATTCAATATACATTACATGTGTAATTATTATTGAAAGTCATTATTTACTTTACCATTGGTTCGAAAAAAACACCTCTGTCTTGGGAAGAACCACCAAGAAACCCAGCGGGACTTTTTTTTTAAATAGATTTTACAATATAAATGATTACGAACTATTTACAAAATTTATTTTAGAAACTGCTTGGAAGCGATCACCTCATTCCCAGGGGTTATTATCAACCATGTATTCATTTATACTATAATAACCCTTTTTATACAGCTTCAGCTTAACAAAACATTTAAACTTGGTAATAGAGAGAGCCTATACACTTTCCGGGACCTTGTTGTGATAGCGTATACATTGCCCTAAGAATGAATTACTGACTCTGTGGCGTCGAAAACTGGCATCACTAGCTTGTGTTTGTCCCTAGTGTTTACAGAATGTACATAACTTTTTTTTACTAAAATTACCTTTGTTTTTGTGAACATACATTAAATTTTCGTAAATATACTGAGGCCAAAGTTAATATATTTATTTCTTTAAATTCATCTCTAAGAGACTTTCTCGGTTTTAGATTGTAAATAGCTCTAATGGCCCCCTTCTGTAAAACAAAAATAGTTTCTGAATCAGCCGCATTTCCCCATAGCAAAATCCCATAAGACATTATGCTATGGAAATAACTGAAATAAACTAATCTAGCTGTCTCGACATTAGTGAGACCTCTAATCTTTTTTTATAGCATAGGCTGCAGAATTTAGTCTGCTTGCTAATTTGGATATATGGGGACCCCACTGAAGCTTTGCGTCGAGAGTGATGCCAAGAAAAACAGTGGATACAACAGGGCTAAAAGATGTAATCCACTGGCAAAACGGATGTAATCCACGTGCTCTAACTGTGGATGGGAGCATGAGCTCGTCCTCCAAGAACGTTATAGGTTAAATAAAAATTTGGATTCCCAATCAGTGGTCCGCGGACCACCATTGGTTCGCAACAGCTTAAATATGGTCAGCGAAAATTTTAAATATTTTACCTACCTAATCGTTTTAAATAACACATTTATTATTTTGTCATCACGCGAGCAGTGCAACATCTAATCGCAATTTTTTACCAAACTTATATATAGTTTAATTTCATTTACAATAAATACACAAATAATACAGTGAATGAATGCTGCTTTTCAGTTTATTGTATAATTAAGTTAAAAGATGTGATAAAAATGTATTGTTAGATTAACATAATTTTTTTCTTTCGCCTTGTGATCCCTGCTGGCAACAAAGAAATCAAAGTGATCCCAGTTCAAAAAAAGGTTGGGAAACCCTGGTCTAGATGGATGGCAACAAGCAAGATCACCTCTGTTGGGACGCTGGATTACATCTGTCTGGAACATGCTTAACTCAACCTAACAGTGGTCAAGTTTTCTACAAAATAACCGACTGCAACATTTGAAATGTTACAATAAGCAACATTGCAAGAATATTCAATAGCTTTATTTATAATAAGAATAAAAAAAACATGGGTCAGTGTCGTGGAACACTCGGCTGGAACGAAGTTCCTTTCGTAGTATATTATTATTGATAAACGTATTGTGTAATTGATTAACAAATACAAATAAATGAATTACTAGCATTTATTAAATGAAGCGTCATTTAAAATAATATTTCTTTCATGACAAGATAAAAAACAATGGGAAGGAAATAGATATTATTCCATCTCGCTCGCACTATAGAAAAGGGTTCGTCACTGAAAAATCTTACTTTTTTTCGCCTAGCCCCATCCGTCAAATTCGTACAGTGCGATAAAGAACTTCGTTCCTATAATTAAGATTTGATTTAAGAATGGATGTTTGGTTCCTCTAACCTTTTTTAGGACCTGGGAAGAATCCATTGCACTGCCACAATACGTTCTGGCAGACTTCACAAGTCCTACATACATATACATCATATGCTTACAACCTCATTGGTGCCAGCAGAGATAACCACTGGATTAATTTTATGTGTAATGAGGTGGTCGCTACCATGCTGTTTCTAAATGTTTTCATACCAATTGTATAAAATACTATATTGTAAATTATGCTTTTAAAAAAAAAGTCACAGGACAGAGGTTTTTTCCGAACTAGTGGTAAAAGTAAAAAATTACTTTCAATAAGAATTACATGTAATCTATATTGAATAAAGATGATACTATTTTATTATATTTTAATGTGAGTGTTTATCTCTTGAAGTATAATGGTATCAATTTCATTCTGCCCGTATATAATTTCGACGTGTAGCGGCAGCATGGGAAAATCCACTACTTCATAATATCATATCGAGGCTGTCATAGAAGGCGAAAGAGGGAAACTAAGTTAAGAGATGGGTATCAGCATCTTTTTGAGAATAGAACAGAACAATAATAGAGGTGAATTTGCCAATCCACCAACCCTGTGGCAGTACCTCCATACAAAATAAAAAGCCTACTAAAATACTGAATGAAAACCCAAAAAAAAAACTTCGAATTTAAAGTTCTACTAGTAGCTCTGACGTTCTGCACGTCACTGTACCCATAACAAGCTTCGCAACTATCCCTTCCCCTCTCCAATGAGTCTATGGGGGTGGCGTATGTTCAGCAATGAACTTGTGATGGATTGTAATGATGATGATGACGTATAACTACTTACCTATCTACATCATTCATCTTTTTGGCAGCTGCTACTAGTTCTAATCGCGTCTGTGCAGCGAGGTCCTTCCAGCCTTGCTCTTCATAAGATCGTAACGCATCAGTTAAAAAAACCACGGCCTTTCCTGTCTCACCCAACTCTGAGTAAAATGATGCTAGATCACGACCTATTTGCCGGGCAAACCTGAAAATAAAGTATATTCAATCTCTGACGGCTCCGTGGCGCAGTGGCTTGACAATGAGTTACGGCGCTGAGGTACCCGCGGATTTGAATCCCGTACGGAACAAGTATTTGTACGGCCTACAAATTGTTATTCTGGATCTGAATGTTTGTTCTAGTGAAATTTATATACGTAAACTGCCCCACAAGAACAAAAAAAGTGAAAGAATCTTCTTTTTAGCCATCAGTGAATCATCGTTTGGACTGCGGAGCCTACCAAAGTGTGAATCATTATATTTTGCTGCTTACTGTTTACCATTCCGTGGGTTCCGTAAGAGATGACTATTGGATATAATTAATAGAATCAGGCGTTACTTTGCGGAAGTCCATTATATTAAAGTTGGTAAAAAGATGCCTCTACACGAGGATCTAGACTCTGCGGTGGCTGACCGCTAAGTGCAGCCACCGCAGTCTACATCACCTGAGGATGCCTCGTGTAGAGGCGAAACACGTGTCGTATTGTCGTCAGTGGTGTGTCTTTCCTAGTGTAGTGGTGTTGGGAGTAGTGGTGCTGGGATTAGTAGTGATGGGGATAGTGCACGCAATTGCGGGAGGGCGGGAGGTGCTCTTCAAACTAGGTAAGACATCATTTTATCGAGCGGATGTACGCTAAGTAATTTTTTACCAACTTTGACTATTGGATATGAAAGACTTACGGCTTCCTGTAGATGGCGGTATAACCATTTGGTTATACCGCCATCGGGGGTAAAATTCCCAGAACGGCGACAGACAGCAGCGTCAAAGATGTAAGACGTCTGGCACTGAGATTGTCCAGATTAAGACAATTCCTTCCTACAACCAGAAGGGCCCAAAACCATCAGTGTAGTTTTACGGGCTGAAAAACTAAAATATAGTGCTAATTGAGCACCGATTAGTGTTGCCGTATGGTGGTGGCGTAAGAAAATATACAATACCCCATTTCGTCCCGTGGGTATCATAAGTGGCGAGTATTTTTTTTTATAGGATAAGGGTGACAAACGGGCACAGTCCACTTGATGGTAAGTGGTTGCTGTGGCCCATACACATCTACATTTATCCTCGTTTGCGAATCAAAATGCAGATGCGTTGTCACCCGTGAGGACTAAGATGCAATGCCTTGTTTCCAGTAAAAAGGGTCTCCGGTTCTCTACACTCACCATACGAAACACAGCAGCATTAAGCTGCTATTTTACGCTGGTATTCTGTGAGAGCGTGGTCCTTCCCCGGTCGAGCAGACCCATTCGTGTTACAACTATACCAGAAATCTAGTTGCAGCATGGCTCTACCACGTGTAAAAAATGTATGTATTCGTTCACTACAGCTGTAAAAAACCCAAATCAGCAGTGGCAAGTGTGTGAAACGACTGTGTTTTAGATGTTAAGTATTTATATAAATTCAGACTCAAACCTTAGTCTTCCAATATGCTTATATGTACCCATTGCCAATTCGGCCAACTCGAGGTAGTATTGCTGGAAACTGGTCTTGCTACACAGAGCTTGTTTCAATCTGTCAGTTGGTGTTGGTTGTGCATTGTTCGGTTCACTGTCACCCATCCCCGCTGACAGCATGACTACTAAGTGCAGTTGTTCTGATGTAGGATCAGGTGAGCCAGGTAAGAGACCACATAGTTTACCTAGTTCATGCAACTGAAAGCATAAATTTTACGAATTGTATATTATTTAATGGATTGATAGGATATCTACAAGTCAGTAGTAGGTGATCAATATCTAGAATAGTGTGTAAATTAAATAGAACTAATTCACATTTATTTCAGTTAGATTTAACACCTCACTAGCATTGTGCATGTGATTTCTTTTTCTTCTAAACTTAATTCTTTCCGAAAAACGTTTAGCTACGTGAGATTTTATTTCTGTTATAAAATCTCTAGATAGCATAAAACAAAATCGCTTCCCGCCGTCTGTACGCTTAGATCTTTTGAAGTACGCAACGGATTATGATGTTGTTTGTATCAATAGACAGAATGATTTAAGAGAAAGGTTTATATGTATAATACATGCATATTATATATTTCTTCTGTCCGTGTGCATGTGACTGAACTTCTCTCAAACGGCTGGACGTATTTTGATGTAATTTTATGCGTGTGATTAAATTGATTAGAAAATGCTTTAGATGCACAATGGAACCTGGTAGGTGGCGTTGTTGTAGAGATCGAGAGAAATCACACGTGCAAAGCCGGGGCGGATCGCTAGTCATCTATAATAGTTAAGTATATAGTCTATGTGGGGTACACTTGAAAATTTTGCGTAACTCATAAATAAAGCAATTAAATGTAAACTAATATATTTATTGATTTTCAAAGTATTCTCCATCACATTTTAAACACATATATTTGTTTACAGTCACGGGTCGAACATCATGGAAAGAAACACGGCCACAATCAAATTCTGAGTACCAACGTCTAATGGGGCCTGTACACCATCGGCCCTGATTGACAACCACAGAATGGAGTATGATTGTCACAATTATTGCACGGCTGCTCATACATTTGTGCATCCTACATATTTGTACTGTCATCTGTCCGAGATGGACGTTGAAACAGTAGCAGCTGCCGCTATTTTTATTTAATTAGTTTATAATATAAGCATTCTTTAAATGTACATTATAAAAGAGTGGTGAAAAAAAGGAAGCAAAACAAGTTGGATGTTAACAATGCACCGAAATAGAACAAGGTAAGTAGGTAAGTTTATAGAGCATCGGTGATCATGTAGACGCGCGCACGATCATGGCCGAACTTTCTTTGATGTTTGTCTGAAAAACCGATAAAGCGGCCATTACGCTCGATCATCACCGATCATGGGAAATCATAGGCGATTATGCCCTCTACACGATCGTGATCGCTAGCATTCGTCCGATGGTGTATAGGCCCCATCATGGTGCTCAAATGAAGTGCTTCCCTCCCAAAAGCATTTTGAAGACGAGCAGTGGAATCTTGCAGAGAGACTGAATATTTAAAATCAATATATGACTTTCTTCTTTTAAAAAATATAACATTCGAAATTCAAACAATTATGAGTGGACAGAAGTGCAGAATTTTTAGTGTGCCCTATGTATTAATTTTATATATTAATAAGCTAACCAATAAGGGCATCCACGACTTTTTCTGCCACCAGGGCGGCGCCACTAAAAAGTGAGGTATAATATTTGACAGATTTCATAGCGGGGAAGTTAATTTGTTCGGAAAATGTAAAGATTATTGTTTCTCTCCGAACTATTGGCTATATTTTAAATTAATAAGATTAAAAATAAATAAACCAAACCACAGATATTCATAAAAGTAGAAAAATTAAAAAAAAAGTTAAAAATGTGCAAAAAATTCAAGAGCAAACCACTAACGCATTGTTTTGTGTATTAATATAATACTCCAGAAACTAAGAAACTTTTATTAAAAACCAATTTCTTAATTAAATTACATTGTGTAACAAAAAGCTTTACTTCAGTGTCAACTAGCGACATCTGTTAAGCAGAAAATTATTAGCCCTCATTCTGTACTCATTACTTTTTCAAAGCCGGGAGTACTTTGCCACAGTGCATTTACATTCAGTGTCAAGCTATTAATGTATTTCAAGGGAAAACACAAAATGCATACAGAATGTCAGAAGGACAGGGAACTTAAGAAAAAAACAGGAGGTCTACTGTAAAATCAGATCTTGCAACACTGCCCAGAAATGACGAGTCTTCAACTTGAATAAGTGGCTTTTTCCGGCGGATAGATCTCTGGCTTACTTTGGAGCCTTGGTTCCGCTTAATTACTTCAGCAATATGAGCTATAAAATAGCCTAAGTCTCATCACATGCATTTGGAGATCTGTCTGTTCATCTGCCTGTATGCTGTCGTATGTGTTGAAGACTGCAGTTTCATTTTCTGACTATCAGTCATGCAATTACGAATGTAATCTGAGTGAGAAATAAAGTCCGTAATTTATTACATTCTTATTATAAACGCAATGGACTTTAACAATTCACAACACAACAGTTGTTATTACTTATTATTGCAACAAATATAACTGGCGGTTATAATTAATATTAATTTAATGCTTAAATTTTACACACTATCATATCGCATATCTCACCTTGTCCTTAGCGTGGTGTAGGAGTGGAGCCTGAGTAGCAGTGCACAATTCTACAGCATTATTCCCGCCAGAAGAAGCTGAGGCAGAAGCTGCAAGGCGTTCGCACGCACGTAACGTCTCCGCACACGCTAACTGTGCCCAGCAGGCCGCAGCACCTTCCACTGCGGTGGCACCCAAAAGAGACAACTCCACTATTGTATTATGGACTGTACTTAGACAACGTGACGCAATCTGGTAATTGATAATAAAAAAAGATATGATGTAATAATACCACGGGTAACTTAACCAAAAATAATGTGATACTGCTATAATTGAATATATAATGTTTTTTCCCCTCAATGTAATTTACTCCCAGAAACCAAAGAATTAAAATTCAAGTTAGAATATCAAATTAAAATTTTAATTGTAACATTAAATTTAAATTCCTGTATAGCAATAAATTCAATTAACAGATGGTTAACCAAGGGGAAAATACTTAACTTAATTAAAAATTTAATTTTACTCCAGTAATTATTCCATATCAATACCCACACATCGACACAGATATTTGATGCTCTTTTTAATTCAGACAGCAACATTAATTAGGCCTAATAACAGTAACAATTGCTCCACTATAGCTTGATAATAGCTCTAAAAGCAACTGTTATGCAGTACTTTTTTTTTTAAATATTACCCCCACTCTAGGATTTTTTCCTGTATCGTGGAGGCAGTTTACAAACACAAATTGCACAAGGATAAACATCCAGACCCGAAACAATTATTTGTAGGCCATACAAATACTTGTTCCGTGCGGGATTGCGGGAGTACTTAAGTGATTGTTTCAGTTTCTCAATGACAAAATCACAGTGACTTTTTACTCATAGTGATTTTTATATATTATATATTCATATACACGCATTTTACATACTTAATGTAAATGTAGAATGTTATGTATTTTGATCTAATATATTATATTACAGCTTTGAATACATTATTAGTATAATTATAGTATAAAACAAAATGCTATATTTGTCTGTGTGTCTATTGAAAAATTAAACATTCTTGATAGAATTCTACGCAGTGTCCATCTGTACTTAAACAACACTTGAAACAGTTTTGTGTGCGGGCATATTTTTATATAAGGATAGTATATTTTATATTTAGTGGGGTTTTGGGATCAAGTTGTAAAAAGATGAATGACATTGTGTGAAATATGGGGCGAGTCGCTTATATAAACACCACTGTATCTCATAAATTATATTAATCAAGATTCAATTACTGGCATTTTGTAGCAGCATTATTGAAAATAGATGTAAAGGTATATATTACTTAACCAACTGGACAACTAGTGTGCATACATTATGTTTTTAGTCTACAAGTTTGGAGTCAATGATACATTATTTTTACTCCATCATAATTTTTTTATAAATGATGTGAAGGCATATATTTTTCCTTCATTCTTTATCAACTAATAAAAATTCACTACTGCATGCGCACACTTGCACCTAAAACAATGTTGTTGGTTGCAAATGATTTTAGATGCATAAGTGTGTGTAAATGAGTGAGTAACGATAAGTTGAGTATGGTCTTGGTTTGGTTTTTGTATCTACTGAATCGTATGCAGTGCTCTGTCTTTCTTACTTGTTGAAGTCTTAACCAAAAAGGGGTAACTTGCTTGACATTACATTGACAGTAACGGCAGTAACCCAAAAAGAACCATACTCTAAGGTTATTATACTCGAACTGGTATTATAATATAGATACTTGAAATTGACTTACCTCCCAAGGCTTATACATTAACAATAACATGGCACTTTGACGTTGAAAAAGATAACTTCGGAAATCCAACAAAGAAGCTTTTTTCTTTATAATAAGCTCTCTAAGATGTTGAGGCACTAAAGCTGTTAGACGCACTGCTTGCCAGGAAGTAATAGGTTGCCTAAATGTGTCAAGCCATTTTGGACTCTCAGCAACATTGGAATTGAGCACAAATTGGGAAAACAAAGCATCTAACTCATCATACTGGACTAGAGCTTCTTCATATAAACCAAGCATTTCTAATACAAATGCTAATTGTTCCTGCAATAAAAATTCATCATAGATATAACTGTCTATTACTTAGGTTATTTAATTTAAAATGACTAATTGCTGTGTAGTTAAAAAGTTAAAGTTGCAGTTACATCCCACTGCTAGGCACAGGCCTCCTCTCATCTATGAAAGGGTTTTAGGGCAAGTAAATGTCAGCTGGGCCATAGACTAAATAATGTTACTATGTAACAGATACATCACTCCCATACAAAAGCGAAAATACCTACGCTATAATAACCTACAAAATTTTAATAATAATCCCAGACGTTAACTGCAAGCAGAAATATACATTCTGCACGCGTATCGGGAGTTGAGTAAGCTTTGCCCAACACACGACCTTCGTATGGCTGCGTCATCGAGCGAACGCGCAAGGGATGTACAAAATTGAAAAAATAAAAAATTGGTAAATCCAATTGGGCATGCCGCATTAAAAAAATTACGTATAACATGATTATACGGAATTTTTTAAAATAGTTTAAATACATTTCGACAGCACTATCGGCTTCAACACCCTCGAAAACCATGAAAATGACACCCATGATGAAAAAATTGATACCTAATTCAGCCGCACTCTTGGATTTACATTACGACAGCACTATCGGCTTCAACACCCTGGAAACCCATGAAAATGACACTCATGATGAAAACATTGATACCTATTGCAGCCGCCACCTTGTATTTACATTTCGATAGCACTATCGGCTTCAACACCTGCGAAAACCATGAGAATGACATCCATGATGAAAAAATTGATACTTATTGCAGCCGCCATCTTGGATTTACATTTCGACAACCCTATCGGCTTCTAATCTCTCGAAAACCATGAAAATGACACCCATGATGAAAAATTTTATACCTAATGCAGCCGCCACCTTAGATTTACATTTCGACAGCACTATCGGCTTCAGCACCCTCGAAAACCATGAAAATGAAACCCATAACGAAAAAATTGATACCTATTGCAGCGTACCTATATCATTATTATTATAATCAAGTATATAAGAAATTTGTTTATTCGAATATTGCGTATTTGTACAGCGATCTTTTTGAGCCGCTGCAAAGAACCGTAACAATGTCCACCAACGACGGCGACTGACGCCGAACTAACTGAGTGACTCAGTCTCTATTTAGTTATAATTTATTCATACAAGGCTGCCGAATACACCGAAAATTTGGCCATTTCGCAGCCGAAAAAAATTTATTATAACTAAACTAAACAAAATTAAACAACTATTTATATTCAATGGCTTCCCACATGATAGGTGAAGAGTTTTAAAAAATAAATTGATTTGAACAATTGATATTTTCAAAAGTTATCGTGTTTTCAAGCCCTGCGAACTTGATAAATCCACACCATAAGCCACTAAAACCTCTTTTTAGGGTTCCGTACCTCAAAAAGGAAAAACGGAACCCATATAGGATCATTTTGTTGTCCGTCTGTCTGTCTGTCAAGACCCTTTTTCTAAGGAACGAGTGGAGGTATCAAGCTGAAATACTCAAGTCTACTGTCCCTTGGAGCTGTGAAAAAATCAAACTTCTAAGCCAACGCAATCAAAAGATACAGCCGTTTATGCCGCAAATTTTCGACATTCGCAAGAGAATCAAAACTTACAGGTTACTTCCCGTGAACTCAGAATCTTAAAATTTGGTACGAAGCAACGTATTATAGCACAGATAAAGGAAAAATTGCGAAAAGCATAAATTTTTAGTTAAATCATAAAATGAAAATATTTTCAATAATTTTAAACTTATATATCTACGGATTTGTTCGGAACCCTCGGTGCGCGAGTCCGACTCGACTAGATACGATTTCATGCGACAAAACGTTGGAATCTTAATTTTTAGGCCCTAGTAGAACATACCGACGCGCTTAGGCGCTTACGGCATGCAAAATACTACGAGGGTGACACTGAGTTATTAGAAAATCAAAAACTGAACAAACTAGCAAGTTATTAGTTTTATTATATCTTTTCGAAATAGTGTTCATTTACATCAACACATCGCTGCATCCAATGGAACCACTGAGAAAAGCACTTTGCCCACTCGTGCTTAGGGGTCTCCTCGACGAAATTTTGAAATGCAGCCACTGCTTCCTCGGCGTCCATAAAACGTTTTCCTCGAAGTTTTTCTTTTATTTTCGGAAATAAATAAAAATCGCAAGGTGCGAGGTCGGGGCTATAGGGCGGGTGAACCAGTAATTCCACGTCTGACGTCATCGTCAAGTCGATTGTTTGCTTGGCGGTGTGCGTCGAGGCGTTGTCGTGGTGAAAGAGGATCCTACTGCGAGCTCGTTTCTCCTGAACTTTTTCCAAGACAAGTGGCAAACAATTGTTAGTGTACCACTGCAGTAACTGTTTTTTGATCCTCTAAAACTATTGTTGCGTAATGACCTGTCCTTCCGAAGAACTGGGCCACCATCTTTTTTCCCACGCTTCGACCTCTCTTCACTTTAGTTGGCAACTCCTCGGAAGGAAACACCCAAACAGCAGACTGTCTCTTAGTTTCAGGATCAAGAACAATAAATCCAGCTTTCGTCACCTGTAAGTATGTCGAACACAGCATTTGAGTCATGTCCGTTAAATCTTTGAACCATTTCACGACACCAATCAACACGACGGAGATTTTGGGCCTCTCTCAAATTGAGGTATCCACCGGGCACAATGCTTTCTAACCGCTAAATGTTCATGGAGAATTTTGTGCACTTGACGCATACCGATGCCTAAGCTTGTCCGAATCTGCGTGTACGCATACGCCGCACAACACTGATGTTATTTTCAGTCGTCGCCGTAGAAGGCCGTCCCTCACGCAGATCATCGGTGAAATTAGTGCGACCACGTTTAAACTCATTAAACCAGTTGTAAACAGTGGCACGAGATGGGGCTTCATCGTGAAAGGCCAATCGAAGTCTATCATAACTTTCTTGTTAACTTAAATGACATCGAAAGCCACAAAAAATCATTGTACGAAAATTGTCTCGCGTTCTGACGTGACTCATACAATTTTCAATTTGCCGCCTAATTGTAAACAAATGACAAATTAATAAAATACACACACAATAATATTGGCAAAGAGTTCCATTTTCAAAATTTGAACTTAGTTTTTTTATTATATCGTTTACAAGTGGCCAGTTCTAAAAACTTTCAGTGTCGCCCTCGTAGAAAAAATTAAATAATATGTTAGAATTTTACAAAATGATAAATAGCTTTATTTGCTTCTACGAATTCTCTGTTATTAAGATACTTGTACTCTCAGGAGTGATACAAGGTCGCGCGTGGCTAGTCGCTTAAAACTTTTAAGCATTTATTCACAAAGCGGTTACAGTTATTTTGCAGTTGTTTCGGTTCAATTTTTGATAAGGTTGTGTTATATTAAGCTACTTAACATATATACACAATATTGTGTTTAGTTTTGTTTATTTTTCTTGCATTTTCATTCCACTGAGAAATTTTTATTTTTAGTTTAGCAGTGTCACAGATTGGCGTGACTGCTATGAGTTAAAAATATCTTTTATTATCTGTTAAAATAAAAATAATATGAACACTTGAAGTGTATACATTCATTCATTTAAGACAATTGTTAAATTATATAACAAATAAATATAGTTCTTAAGCTTAGTTGAGTAGAGCCTAATTTGAATGTATTCCATTTGAATGCATCATCTACATTATTCTATTGGTTATTTTAAGACTCATAATGCTCATAAGATCATCATATCATCATTCAGGTCACTCCATAAAGTCCAAGACGTATTAAGTATAAATATACTTAAATATATACATTATTACCTCGTTACTTTTAGTACATAGTACTATTATTTATTCTGTGCTTTAAAATATTGTAATAAAAATCTGTGATTATTATAATAATCAAGTATGTATCAAATTCGGTTTTTCGAACAATTTGTATTTGTCCAGCGACCTTTTTGAGCCACTGCAAACAACCGATACAGTATCCACTCACGACGACGGCTGAGGCCGAAGCAGTGGCATAACAGTCCATACTATAATTTTTCGTAGAGGTATTAATATGTCTTGACAGTTTGTCCATGTTGCAGTAGATGTCGCTATTTTTAAATTTAGCCATGCTAGGTCAATTAAGAATCAAACAAATTAATTAATAGTTAAAAATATAAACGAACTTACTATTTTGTCACAAAACAAATTTGTATGTAATTAAATGTTTATTGTAATTTATTTATTTTACATTTATTCAAGTGAATTATTATGATTTAGCTGCTGCAAATTGTTATCTCCGTTTATCTTTTATCTATGGCAAGACCCGAAGGGAGATAGGTCATTTTGGATTTCAAACGGTCTGTCAATGTTACAAATGTCATTTAAATTTAATTTTATTATATATACAATATTAAAAACTATAATAAAAGAAACTAAAAGTCTAAAACTTGTAGTTTGTGTGTGTAAAACTAGTAACGTAATTTAATTTGTCTGTTTGTCATTCCATTTCCTTTCATGGCTTGTGAATGTGCTCTGTTTGTGTTTATAAGATTTTTTGACTACTTTGCTAGATCCCCGGACTCCGAAGACTTCGCCTTTTTCGTTGGACTTACGCATGAAACTCTGGACCCTGATTTGCTTAACTATTTGTGCTCTGTTGACCTGGACTTTGGCTTCTTTTGAAAGAGGTTGTTGTGTACTATTATAATAAAAGGAAGCATTATAAAAAAAACATCTAACCGCTAAATAATTTGCCTAAATTATATTGTATACAAAGTAATTTGCAAAAGCCAAATCAATATTAAAATGATTTGACTTTTGGTAATAACTTTGAAAATAAATAATAAATATTTATTGTAATAAAGAGCATCTTAGTTCTTAGGGCTGTAGGGGCGTCGTATATCGATAGATGGCGCTAATGCTACGATTCTAAGAGATAACTCTACCCCCTATATATGATGTACTCTGTGGGCCGAAGTGAGTGAGTGAGGCAGTCTATTTAGTAAAATAAATTATTACAAGCTGCTCAAAACACCGAAATTTTTCGTGATTTCTAGGCCGAAAAAATTAATTATAACTAAACAAAAGAAAATTAAACTGCCAGTTACATTACATGGCTTTCCACATGATAGATGAAGAGATTAAAAAATAGATTGAGTTAAACAATTGATACTTTCAAAAGTTATCGTGTTTACACTCACTCCATGTGGACTTGATAAATCTACACCATAAGCCACTAAAACCAGTTTTTAATGTAAAAATTTTAAAATAATATTAATAAGTTTAACAATCATTTATCTTTCTGTCAATGAGCTTTTTATCATTTATATGTTCAATATGATTGTTAAGCCGCGTATCCACCAAAAATGTTGACAACAGTTGTTTCCAACTGTTTCCAACAAGCGTCCACCGAGGGAACAAATGTTGGCAACAAGCGTATTCCTTTGATGTTGCCGTCGAAAATGGAAACAAGTTTTGTTGGCAACAAAACTTTGGCGGAGACGCGGATTTAGATACGATTTTATGCGACAAAACGTTGGGATTTTGATTTTTAGGCGCTAGTAAAATATACCTACGCGCTTTGCGCTTAATACAATAGACGCTAGATAGGCCATCTACCGCCAATAATTTGATAAGAATCGGTAAGTCATGAAATCGTGAATTTTAATAAATGGATCAAACATTATGATAATTTTATTCATTATGGTTAGTTTCATTTTTTATTCGTTTATTTTAATAGTTAAAATAAAATTATAAAACAAAAATAAAAATTAATTAAATTTTATTTTCAAAGCGTGCAGCACCCCTTTGATACGTGTACTCCCGGGAGTACGCTATCCGGGAGGTATATAACGCGAGACCTCGAGCGAATGACGGAGCCCTGGCCGGGCGGCCCCAATGCGTGTTGACGAACTTCACATGCCTTCGAAATCTTTCTTCTCATTTCTTAGACATATAAGTGTTCTCACAATGTTTCCTTCAATGTTGGGCACATGGTAAATCAGCACTAAAAATTGCAATTAACAATATCATTGGAGCCGATGATTGAAACCGGGTTGCTCATGTACTGTGAAATTTACAGCAAGCGGTTAGCCCCTGAGTTACCATGACTTATTTAGTAGTTAGGCTCTGTATAGTAGTGCCATAATAATATCCACTTTTCTATATCACTCTGAGGGTGCTGTGAAAGGCAACAGAAAGAAGCTGATCAGCCAATCTATGGGGGAGGCTTATGTTCAAAAGAGGACACTTGACAGGCTATTTATTGTGTTATTAATGAATAAAAACTTAACAAACATTACAAAAAGCTTATTACCTGCAAAATAAAATATGTACAAAAATCCCACTCAGGGTCGTTTCGCTTCTCCCTTTGTTCTCTCATATACTCCTCAAACTTAATTAAAGTTTTGTTATACGCTACAAGAACAAAATGTCTTATTTTTGCTACTAATGATCGCCATGACTCTGCACTTCTTGCTTCAGATTTTATTGGATTTATAACAGAAAGAAATCTATCTTCTGTTTGCTTTACAGCAAAATCACCTTTTATCTTGTCTAAAACTGTAGTTCGTGGGAGCAATTTGTTAGTTTTCCGTATGTCATAAGTTTCTACTAACACTAGCATCCAGTCTGTTACACCATTCTTTTCCATTTGTTTTAACCATGTTTCTATCTCTTCTCTTAAAGTAGTTTTATAATATTCTATATCCTGAAATTTTAAATATTAGAAATTCTAAATACATATTTCTTTTATTGGATATGGTGACAAACAAGCACACAGTCTACCTGATGGTAAATGGTTGCTGTGGCCCATAGACATCTACATTTATCCTTGTTTGCAAAGCACAATGCATATGTGTTGTCACCAGTGAGGACTAAGATGGAATGCCTCTTTTTGAGTAAAAAGGGTCTCCGGTTCTACGCTCACCATACAAAACACAGCAGTGTTAAGCTGCTATTTTACGCTGGTATTCTGTGAGAGCGTGGTCCTTCTGGTCAAGCCGACCCATTCGTGTTACAACTATACTACTAATATAGCTGCAGGATGGCTTATACCATGTATAAAATAATATAAAATATAAACCTAACCATAAACATAAAACTCTCAAACCTGTCACCCAGAGGGGTAGATAGAGATTAACCTTTACATGTGCTTGAAACCTAAAATATATTAAATAAAGTAAAACATTTACAGTAGTTGTAATAAGAAATATTACATTAAAGACAGATTAGTTACACACTATGCATAAGGCTGAGATCTATAGACCGTACTTTGACTTTGCTCAGACTTTACTCAAGGAAAACTTAGCTAATATAAGCTTAGCATAGTCTTTGTTTCTGAATATATAGTTGTATTGGGCTAAGATTAAGCTAAGCTTATGCTAAGGCCCAGGCAGTCAAAACATGAATGGCTGCTTTATTCCATGCATTATGTTCTTGATTTTCATGACTGACTCAACATGAAACAGAAACTTTTTTATTTAATATAGATTATAAATAATACTTATTGAAAGTCACTCTTTTGTTTGATTACCACTGGTTTGGAAAAAAACCTCTGTCCTGGGAAGAACCAGCAAGAAACCCAGCGGGACTTTTTTTTTAAATAACAGCTTACAATTATGATGTTACACAAATTAACAACAACAAATTAGAAATAGCTTGGTAGCGATCACCTCATTTCCAGGGGTTATTATCATCCATAAATTCCTTAATATTATAATAACCCTTTTTATACAAACTTAGTTTAATAAAGTTTTTGAACTTTGAGCAGGTCAAACTTTATATATTATCTGGAATTTTGTTGTAAAAGCGTATACATCGCCCCAAGAATGCTAGTAGTACCACTGCCAGACACAAGCTAGTAGTACCACCTACTCGATGGAGTCGAGTAAGTGGTACTACTAGCTTGTGTCTGTTCCTAGTATTTACAGAATGAATATCACTTATTTTTGTAAAACTACTTTTATTTTTGTGTACGTACATTACATTTTCATAAATGTGTTGAGAGGCCAAAGTTAATATATTAATTTCCTTAAATTTTTGTCGCAGCGACTCTTTAGGCTTTAAATCATAAATTGCTCTTATGGCCCTCTTCTGTTTCATCATTTCGAAGTTAGCTCTATAAATACCAACATTGTCTTAACTCGAAAGTAAAGTCTAAGCAAATTCAAAGTACAGTCTATATACAGTGGTACCTCGACATACGAGTGCCCCAACATACAAGCTTATCGAGATATGAGCCGGTGAGCGAGTGATTTTTTGCTTTAAGTTACGAGCGAAATTCGAGATACGAGTTTCGGTATACATATTTAACCCGGTATGTCAGTAGAGGAAGAGATTGTGTCTCTGGGGAAATCCATGGGTCTAGAGGTGGAAGAGAGAGACATGAACGAGCTCGTCGAGGAGCACACCCAGGAACTGACAACTGAAGAGATACAGTCAAGAGTTACAGTCACAGCAGCATACGGAGGTTATGCAAGAAATTAGTTTCGAGGAGTCAGAGGAGGAGGTTATTTCTACAAGTGAGATAAAGGAGATCTTAGGAATGTGGGAGAGAGTTTCACAGTTCATGGAAAAGAAACACCCAGAAAAAGTTGCAACAGGTCGTGCATCTGATCTTTTTAATGACACTTGCCTAACTCATTTCCGAAACATTCTGAGAGGCAGGAAGAAACAAACCTCCTTGGACATGTTTTTTTCTAAACAGCCTATAGGTGAAAGCTAGAAAAATGTAGCGAAAAAGGCAAAGACCAGTGAGGATGTCTAATTTATTTATTTACATTCTCTTTTTTGTTTTTGTACAATAAATATTTGTCATTTATAAATACGTTTTTATTATTCAAAACCACGTAACAAAAATAACTGGGGTGACATTTTTGGGGTTGGAACGGATTAAAGGTAGTTCAATTGTTTTGTATGGGGAAATTTGCTTCAAGATACGAGTTATTCAAGATACGAGCAAGGTTGCGGAACAAATTAAACTCTTATGTCGAGGTACCACTGTATAGATATAGATCTCAGCCTAAGAGTATCCTACCTTAAAATTGTTATCTCTCTCTTTTTTACTGATATTATATCAAACTATAATATGTATATATCTTCTTTCTTTATTTTATCGATTATTCTTTTTTTTTTTATAGGAGAGGGGGCAAACGAGCATGCGGCTCACCTGATGGTAAGTGACTACCGCCGCCCATGAACAACTGCAACACCAGGGGAATCGCAGATGCGTTGCCGGCCTTTTAAAAAGGAGTACGCTCTTTTCTTGAAGGTCCCTAAATCGTATCGGTCCGGAAAAATCGCTGATGGTAATCGATTCCACAAGGAGGTCGTGCGAGGAAGAAAACATCTTCTAAATCGCACAGTGGTGGACCGCCAATCATCCAGATGGTGTCGATGGTATCGGGAGTTCTGCCGCGATGTGCGTTCGTGAAATTTGGCGGCTGGGATTAATCCGAACAATTCCTCAGAGAACTCCCCATCCGAGACTTTGTTCAGCAAAGACTCGACTTCAGATACAAGTTTGTTCCGGTACTCAGCGACGTTTTCCCGAGAAATATTGGCACGGCCGGTGTATAGAGCATCACCAGTGCTGTCATCCGCATAGCAATGAATGTTACCAGTTAGCAACATATCATTGATATGCAGAAGAAACAGCGTTGGTGATAGCACACAGCCTTGTGGAACACCTGCGTTAATAGGCTTGTAGTCAGAGCATGCACCGTCTACAACGACCTTGATGCTCCGATCTGCAAGGAAGCTGGTGATCCAATTGCACAATTTCTCGGGAAGCCCATAGGAAGGGAGCTTCGAAAGAAGCGCTTTGTGCCAAACCCGATCGAAGGCCTTCGCAATGTCCAGACTAACGGCCAACGCCTGCCCCTTGGACTCTACTGCCTCCGCCCATCTATGGGTCAGGTAGACCAGAAAATCACCAGCTGATCGACCCCGACGAAAACCGTATTGGCGGTCACTAATCAGCTGGTGATCCTCAAGGTACCGGATGAGCTGGCAGTTAATAATGGATTCCATTATTTTGGAGAACAAGGAGGTGATCGCGATAGGCCTATAGTTGGATGGGTCTGAGCGGTCGCCTTTTTTAGGGATCGGGCGGACAAAAGCTGTCTTCCATGAATTCGGGACTACGCCTTGGGAGTAGGAGTACCAGAAAAGACGCGTTAGGACCGGTGCCAACTCCGGAGCACACGTCCTCAGCACAATTGGGGGGATTCCGTCAGGCCCACTCGACTTCTGGATGTCCAGGGAGAGCAGTGCTTTGCGAACCGAGCGCTGTGAGAACAGCACATCCGGCATGGAGCACTCACACCGCGGGATGGTCGGCGGTGTTTTCCCCCCGTCATCAAGAGTCGAGTTGGACGCAAAAAGGGAGCCTAAAAGGTCGGCTTTGTCTTTTGCGTCATGGGCCAGTGAGTCATCCTCCCTGTGCAGAGATGGTAGTGATGGCTTACAGAAATTCCCTTGGACAGCCTTGACGAGAGACCAGAATGCACGGGTTCCCGAAGGAAGGCGAACTAGTTTCTCGCCAATTCTGCCTATGTGCTCTGACTTTGCCTTGGCAATAACTCTTTTGAAGGACCTGGAGGCGAAGTTATACTTCTTTTTAAGTGTGCTGGTATTTACATCCCGAGTCGCCGAAGCCGCAGCCCAGGCTTGATAACACTCCTGCTTACTGCGTAATGCAGTCTTACAGGAGCGACCAAACCAAGGCTGAGATCTGCCTCCGATGGGTACCACAGATGATGGAATAAATAATTCCATTCCCTGTAGCACCACATCAGTGACAGAGTCAGCAACAGCGCTGGGATCATCCGGCGAGAAGCAAACCCGCCCCCATGAGTAGGACCGCATTCCGTCCCAATCCGCCGACCTGTAATGCCAAACACGGCGGCAACCTGCAGAACGCAACCGCGAAGGGAGCGTGAGTGGCACCACACTCCGGATCAGACAATGGTCCGAAGAGCCGAGAGGGGCATCGACGGAAACCTGATATCCGTCCGGATGAGAGGTCAGCAGAAGGTCCAACAGGGAAGGTGTATGATCCTCCACATCTGGAATCCGCGTAGGCGAAGTAACCAGTTGTGTCAGACCATATGCCAAGGCAAAGTCATAAACAGATCTCCCCGCATGATCGGTTAGACGTGAACCGAGCCATTCGGCATGGTGGGCGTTAAAATCGCCAAGGATCACGATCTCTGCGGATGGGACCTGTTGTAGCAAGAAATCTGTAGCCATTTGGACGTGGTCGATGAGTCGGTCTGTTTCGGCATTACCGCTATGGGACCTATAGAGGCACCCGTAGACGCGCGGATGGTCGTCGCTGTCTACGCGTAGCCAAAGGATGGACAGGTCCGAACCTTCAAGACTGCCCTCGGCAGTCGTCGAGAACAGATGTCCTGTCTGACATACATGCAAACTCCAGCCCGAGGCACAAAGGAATGCTCCAATTTGTACCCCGGGCAGGAGAGATACGAAATATCAGCCGGAGAGGAAACCTGCGTCTCGGTCAGAAAGAGCAAGGCCGGCTTCGCCGTCTCGAGATGGTAGTGGACGGCGTTTAGGTTAGAGTGAAGTCCCCTGATGTTGCAGAAATTCACGGATAGCGTGGCAGGGGTCGCCTTGGTGTTCTTGCTCAGTTTGCCCCTAGCAGTAATGCTTTTGAGCGGAATTTTGCCCCCCCCAGAATACGCGGGGCAGCCTGAGCACCCACGCTCAGGATCGGAATAACATGGTCGTGGATGCTCAGCGAGGGATTCTCCAGGGGTGCTGGTACCCTCCTGGGGTAGTTCTTCGTGTAATTCCGCTACCATGTTGATGGGGGGGGGGGGGGGGGGGGAATTGGGCCTCCGGCCACCTGCACTCACCAGAGCAAAAAGCAAAGCTTCTACTTCACGCCGGTATTCTGTGAGGTCGTGGTACCAACCCGGCTCGAGCCGGCCCATACATGCAACAGCAAAAACTGCTGCGTGGCTCTACCACCGTTAAATTCTTGCAATGTTTATGTCTAATCCTACCGTAAAACTGGCGCTATTTTGTAATGTCATTATTGACATCAGTAGGGATGTCGATTCTTTCCGAAAAAGGTCGATTTTTAAATTGATTCAAATCGTAAGCTGATGTAACAGTTCACAAAAAATCGATTTCTAAAATATCTATATATTTTTAATGTTTGCATTTATAATGTAAATATAAATCCATTTTATGAAAAACAAGAAAGATACCATGATAAATGATCTATTATTGAAATTTGTTTTATTTTAACAGTACCTATTAGGGCAGATAAAAAATAAAATAGGTTAGGTTCAACTTATGTCAAAGAACCGAATTGATTGACCCCGACTCCACCTGGTACGAGTCTGTCCTACCCCTAGAGTGGTTTTATAGCGCCGGAGACGTAGCAGTCTCAAAATAGATACAGAAATCCTTCTGAATCAGTCCCCTTATTTTTTTACAATGAAGGGGATTTTTTTCCCATAAAATGGATTTATATTTACATTATAAATGCATACATGAAAAAAATATTGATATTTTAGAAATTGATTTTTTGGGAATCGATACCTCAGCTTACAATTCAAATCTATTTAAAAAATCGATCTTTTTCACATTCCTACTGACAATAATAATAAAAATGGCATCAGTTTCACAGTAGGAATTGACATAAATATTGCAAAAATATTTGATTTACAATATTTTTTTCTCAATAAGTACGTATTTCCGCATATTGAAACTTTGTGTGTGTGCTTATAAAAATGTAATCTTTCTGTAAAAATACGTATCAACACCAAACTCGACGGACATCAATGGAAAGTCGTACCTTTATATTGAAATTGGTTGTAGAATTTTTTTAATTTTACCACTTGTCTTTTACTAAGCATTTTCAATATTTAGATTGTGTAGCTATTGCTCTGATATGAAAATTGATGTCACAAACGGTCACCAATAAAATATATTTATGCAATAAAATAAACTATTGAACATACACATTGAAATAAATTTAGTAATTAAAATAACTTTCATATAAACTTAGGATTATCCAAAAATCTTACCACACAATCTGTCCAGTAAATATGTAAAATTGGGCGCTTTAAAAGGTTCAGTTCTGACTGCACTTTATCCTTATTATATTTAGTAAAGGTGGCTTCTAAAAACACTGATTTAGTGATGCGACCATATGACCTCCTCCATTCGCAAGAATCTTGAGGTATTGCAGCAACCAAAGGGGCCTCCAATGTGCAAAATAAATTCCAATCTCCAGCACCTAATAAAATTAATTTTGTATGACTACTCAAACTGTTTAGTACCTATTAGTTAAAAATACTAAATAAGAAACATTCTTATGAATTTATCAAAAACTCTTTAGTTTTTATCAAATTTGATATACCATCTTCTGCATAAGGCGTAAAGCAGGAACCATAAACGTATAAGTAGCCATGTTCGTTAATAATTCTTAAGAATCTGTTATCAGTGTCCAAAGTTCTTTAAACTCTGTATGCTTTAAACAAAGCCTATCAACTTACATGTTATGATTGGCTTGTGTGTCATCCCTTCACGATCAGCTGGAAAGCTATCGACACCCTTCATTTTTCATCATCAACAAGATTCTTCGCATAGAATCCTCTTATTAGTTTGTGATTCTTCGACTTTGTAGGCATGACACAGAAAAAGACTACCTAATTAAAAATCATAATCCACCCACTTTAATAAACATCACTTGCAGTTTACACGCAGTGTTATTGTTGCTGGCATTAATGTTACAAATTAAACAAAACGCAATAATAACGAATTATTCCGACCCTTTTTTTTAATGGCATCAAAAATGAAAACGAAAATTTGTCAAAATTTGCTGTCAATGTCAGCCTCCACGAATTAAAAATTTACTCCATTCTTTTTTATTCTCTCTCTACGATTCTTTTAATATTTTTTTTATAAAGATTTTTGGCTTGGATGGTCGTCCTTTAAACCATAACTTAATTTTATTGAGATACAAATAGGTTATAATATAATATAGGGAGTGAGCTCTTGGAACACTGTAAGCGTTCCTCATAGGCATGAGACCGATATATCAAAACGTAACTAATAACGTTATGTTATCAAATATCATATCATATCGATAAACCTAAGAACATAACCGTTATCACATATCCAACCAAAACCCAAAATCAACTAATCAACGTACGAAACATAAAACGCAAACTGTAACGATACGCCAAAAAACGAAAACGGCCCAAAACCAAAACTAACCGATGTCCTTTGATATTCGTTGTTTCTCGTTCTAGCGACAGTACCATAAATACGTATGAAAGAGATGAAGCGAATATGGATTTCGTTGCGATGTTTTAGTTGTTATCATAAAACGGGTCACGTAGTGAAATATAATTATAAGAGTCTTAACAATAAGTCGACTTTGAAATGGTTAAAATTGCCTAATTTTTTAAGTTTGTGTAGTTGTGAGAGTTGTCAGATTTAAATGATCTTTAGGCCATTAAGCACTAGACTTAGATTTGTTTCATTACATTATATTTCGTTTAGGCAACTTTTGTTTACAATACAAACAATACAAACAATTACGCATATATATATATATATATATATATATATATATATATATATATATATATATATATTTGTAAATTAAGGAAGTAATTCACACCATGGTTTTCTCAAACATACATAATAAATGTATACCGGCGTATTTCAAAACTTTGCTAGCATGATTTAGGTTTCGGTATAAATAATAAATACCCACAGTGGCGCCATCTTTTAATGGATTATGTAAAAATAACGGGAAAAATAGTACTTTTACTGTGAGATGGCACTAGTATCAACATAAAGCTAGCTACTGAGGTCTTTCATACCTCTGGTTATGTTTTGGTTGTAAACCATTACTACTGATATCGATATTTGAAAACGGTTTTCAATAACGATATGAAAACTAAATATCAGTTAACCGTTGCAGCCAAAATCTGAAAACGCCCATGCTTAGTTCCTCATTTTTCTTAGAAAGAGAGGCACCGAGTTTGGTATTTTATCGCTTTCTAACATTGATAAATGTTTACACAAAATAAAAACATTACCAACGTTTAGACAGTTATTGACTTAAAGTAATATTTTAGACGTATGCTAGAACGATAATCTTACATTTTTTATCGCTAATCTTAGTTGAAATATTCCACATTGTATTTTAATTAACCTTATTATTAAGTAGCACGAAAAAAAAAACCACTAAATCACTTTAATGTAAGAAATTTATGACTCCAAATGTCAAACAATTAAATTCTAATGTATTTTAAATGGAGAGAAACTGAGTCTTGTAGATACCACCATTTTTCTTGGAATCACATTAGATGCCAAGCTTAGCAAAATTAGCAAGCAGACTTAGCTCTGAAGCATATGTTGTAAAAAAGTTTAGAAGTCTTACCAGTGTTGAAACAGCTAGACTATTTTACTTTAGCTATTTCCATAGCATAATATCGTATGGTATTTTGCTATGGGGATACGCAGCTGACACTAAAATTATTTTTGCTTTAGAGAAGAGAGAGAGAATGACTTTAAAATGAAAATGTAATGTACGTACACAAAAATAAAAGTAGTTTTACAAAAATAAGTGATATTCATTCTGTAAATACTAAGAACAGACACAAGCTAGTAGTACCAGTTACTCGACTCCATCGAGTCAGTAATTCATTCTTGGGGCGACGTATACGCTTTTACAACAAAATCCCAGAAAATATACAAAATTTGACCTGCTTAAAGTCCAAAAACTTTAATAAACTAAGTTTGTATAAAAAGGTGATTATAATATTTAAAAAAATATGGATGATAATAACCCCTGGAAATGAGGTGATCGCTACCAAGCTATTTCTAATATGTTGTGTTGTTAGTTTGTGTAACATACATGATTGTAAGCTGTTATTTAAAAAAAAGTTCCGCTGGGTTTCTTGCTGGTTCTTTCCAGGACAGAGATTTTTTTTTGAACCAGTGGTAGTTAGCCTTTCAATAAGTATTATTTATAATCTATATTGAATAAAAAAGTTTCTGTTCCTGTTACACGAATGTTCTTTCCCTTAAAACTAGGAGGTGCATTTTACGCTATAGATGACAACACTATTTTAAAATTTGACGTTGTCAAAAAAATGAATATATTGTTTTTTTTTTATAGAATAGGGTGACAAACGAGCATACAGTCCACCGGATGGTAAGTGGTTGCTGTAGCCCATAGACATCTACATCTATCCTAGTTTGAGAATCAAAATGCAGATGCGTTGTCACCCGTGAGGACTAAGATGGAATGCCTCTTTTCCAGTAAAAAGAGTCTCCGGTTCTCTACATTCACCATACGAAATACATTAGCGTTAAGCTGCTATTTTACGCTGGTATTCTGTGAGTGCGTGGTCCTTCCCCTACTACTACTTATACAGCTGGAGCATGGCTCTACCACGTAGAAAACGCCTTGTGCTAATCATTCGCCAAATCTACGTGGAGTGCACTTACTTAGGGAGCATTAATTCAAGTTTAACTTTTTTTAGGAACAGAAAAAGACTTTACAGGTTCTTTTCATCATCCACACATCAATGAGAAAGTTTAATAAAAAGTGTAGGCGTATCCGTCAAAAGACTCTAAGAGACAAAATGAATTGATCATCATGACGTTGTTAAACCACTGCAGAATAATTTAAAAAACTCGACTCTCGAAGATATATGTGATCCCAGCACCAACAGAGAAAACGTCGATACAATAGAAGCAGTATCTACACTCTTACCAGCTTTTTGTGACTTCAATTGTTTATGCTATCTTTCCGTTTGGTATAAAATCCTAATAGAATTTAGTCAGACACAAAAGCAAATACTAAATAATATAATAATAGTCTAGATTATCATTGGAAATGTATGAGATTAAAATCAAAGCCCAAAACTTTTTCTTCAAAGCCAACGTATTCACTAGTGGAAAAAGCTATTTCCTACGTAATAAAAAATGTGAGAATGTGGACATTTCGATTGAAGGAAGTAGAGAAATGAGGAGATATCGAAAACGTTTACCAGGAGAAATGACCCGATATGCTGGACTAACATTGCCAGAGGAGCTGCAGAGAGCTATGTTAGAATGTTTTGACATATTTTACGAGGAACTAGACCATCGCTACAGAGCAATGGATGATATAATCGTAACATTTAGTGTAGTTCACCCATATACTCTGCTAACGTCACCAGATGAAGATCTTCATGTAATAGTTCAAAAGCTGACAAAAATCTTCGATGAATTTTCTGCTTTTTTTGGTTTACGACTTCAAAGCTGCCAGCATTTCTTTCCAAGAAGCGGTTCAATGTAATTCACTGGAGCCTTTCTTATAAAATTGGGCTATTCTGAATCTGTTCCGAATGTAGCGCTGTGTCTAAGATTTTTTTACTATTAAGTTTCATGTGAAGGAAGCTTTTCAAAACTCAAGTTAATAAAATCTTACTTTAGGTCCACAATGAGCCTAGCGCGATTAATCAATCATTCCATTTTATCTATCGAAAATGACAACAAAGTAAACTTTGATAATATATTAGAATATTTTAGCAAAATAAAGTCCCATTAGCATGTATAGCATTTTTTGTTTTATTTTGGGGGGTGCTTGATAGAAAACCTCCCAGGGTGTCAACCCACGCTACTGTTGCCTGAAGCTCCTGCGTAATTAAATTAGTCCATTTCTGACTCTTCAGATTCACTGGAACTATCATCGCTTACTGAGATTACAAGTTTGTCTATATCATTATACAGAGATCCTCCACGGGAAAAATATTCATCGTCGTCCATTCTGCGCCGAATTGTGCTTTCGGAAACATCTGAAACCAATATAGGCATGTAAATGTAAATATAATTCTTAAATAAATTTCATAACCTCAACTATTTGTAAGCAATGTAATAAAACGGATAAATTATACTTAAAAACAAATGATAGATATGCGATTACAGTTTTTTTATTGTGTTTAACATTAAAATATCTGTACGTACCAGTTATCTTTGCTGTTCGACCGTAAAAATCGTTTAAACTGAATCGACAAGATTCGCAGATGTATTGATCCGCGCAGCTGTTAATTAACCACGAGTTCCTTTTCTCTACGACTAACGCTGTGGGCGATGAATCACGCTATTAAGCCCTTGGCACATTGTCATCGGGCATCAAGCATGAATCGGGCATCGTGCGTTGCGAGTATCAAATACTATGGAACTTATACTATCTTGGCACGCTGAACCACGCGTCTCATACGCGGGCATCTGGCGGCGCTTTAGGAGCATTACTAAATATCTAAACCTATCTACACTAATAGTTTTATTATTGTGAATTGTGAATATAATCCGAAGCTCCGCGCAACTAGCGTGATGCTATAAATATTGTACAAGTGTGACCGTGAGGTGCGGGTGCTTAAGTAAGGTTATACATTTTATTGGTTAATAAGTAGGGACTCGGGTTCATAATTGCTTAAATAGGATAATCTCAAGATTTTTTATATATTACAGTTTTATAATATATAAAAATTTATTTCTATTTTTACCTAAAGTTTTTGAAGTTAAATTTTTGAAGTGATAAAAAATTTTTTTGCAAGACACAAGGCATTCGTTTACTTATTTTCATAAAATATTTTCGTTTACAATTTCTCCTTTCATGTTTTAAGAAAACTCGTTCAGAATGAATACCAATCTCATAAACGTCTTGAGAGGGATAAACAGAAATAAACAGCAGTGCTTACACTGCCGCGTTCCGGCATGTTGTGTATAGAGAGCCTGTATAATTAAAAGCTGTAAGGCATTTTATCTTAGTCCTCAGACGTGAAAATACATTTGTAGCTTTCTTTGTTTGAAGCTGACTGTAGGTGACCATGTATTGCAGTAACCGTTTACCATCAAGTGATACTGTAAGTTCCTTTTGTTATTTTCGTTTTATAAAAAATATACATAATAATAATGACGACAAGAATTTGTACACATTTGAACATGCGCAAACGAAATTAACATATGTACATTAAAATATATAATAAGAAACCACGCAAGAGCATAAATAATGTACCACCCCATATCTTCCCGTGAGTGTCGTAAGAGGTGACAGTGGGAAACAGGCAGGAGATGGGCAGCAGCATCTTCCTGATAACAGCAAAATTGCAATAAAATAAACTGCGGTTGCCAACCAACTTGCCAAGCGTGGCAACTATGGCAAATACCCCCCCCCCATGATGAAGGTAACGAAGAGACGGTCCCCAGTCCCCGCTATTCCTGGCTACGGTGGCGACCATGGTAACGGCGGGGCAGGAGGTGCTAATAATCTACGGTGCAGGTTCGGTTGCCACCTAAGACGATTCGACCTGGTAACATACAACGTACAGACCCTGAGGACTGACGAGAAGACCGTAGAGCTGGAAGAAGAGATAGATAAGTTACGCTGGCATATTATAGGATTATCCGAGGTCCGAAGAGAGGGAGAGGACACGGTAAACTTCGAATCCGGCAACAGTCACATTGATAAAAATCACCAGTGCGCGCTTGCTCAAATAAAAAATATGTCACGTTATATGTAATAAACATATACATAGTTAAATTAGAATTTAAAGGAACCTCCTACTACAAGCGTCCGAAATCGACTAAAAATTAATAGTAAATAAAACTCAAAATATAATAATTTAGACTATTTTATTTTTCTGTACTTTGCCTAAACTTAGTTTTCTGAAGTCATGTTTTCTTAAAGTTTATTTACTGTCCACATTACTCTGAAGGGATGTAAAGCCATTAAAAAAATATATATTTTATAATTATTATTCGGACACTGTTCACATCGTACAATTTTATTGCACCGACAATATCCTTAATCTATTGATAAACAGTGTGAATTGCTTGACACACGTTGTGTGACCCCCATCGGTTTTGTGTGTACACCAATGATGAATCCATAATTTTTTTGACACCAAGGCGGCGTCGATTTGGACGTAAAACATTTGACAGCTTTCATGGAGGGGAAGTTCAAGTTTCTTTCTGAAATATTAGTTATATGTAATATTAATTAGATTAAAATGGTAAACCAAACTAGGGAAAAGTAAAAAATACAAAGAGAATAAAAAAAAAAAACAAAATAAAAAAAATATTAAAAGCAACCACTAACGCATTATATTGCGTGTAACTTTTCACAAAGTTGACACTGTGTATTACATAGCTACTCCTCAACTAGCGTCATTTGGTGAGCGCAAAATTGTTAGTCCTCATTACACATGTGACACGTCTCAAACCAAATCTCTGCGTTTTATTTGAGACGTCTACGGCCATAGAATAGAATAAATACTTAAAAAATGTGTGGAACTAATGTAGTTTTAGTATTATTATTACTGTAATTCATCTGCGTGTTAGATGTGTGGAGATTAAAGGTAAGAAGACTATCTCATATAGGGGACAAAATGAAAAAGTGTCCAGTTGTAAGCTGCAAATAACAGTTCAAAAATCTTCCAGAATGGCGTTAGCAGGGTATGGTATAAATGTAGCAGTTGTAGATGGATTAAAGTATACCGACTGAAAAAAAATATTTTTGAAAGACTTATTATTTATTATGTAAAAAGATTTATGGTTTATTCTAATAACTTTTTCATCCAAAACTTGACACTTCATCATTTTGGTTTTGATGAACTTTTATTCTCTAATTTAAAACAAAAATGTATTAATTTAAAAATGTCATTAATTTACAAAAAAATAATTAAAATAATTAATTTAAAATTTACCCTCTTGCTATTGTAGCGCCACCATAATTTGACGTATTTCTACGAACACTTTTTCATACACAGAAAGAGAAACAGAGATTGTCCTCCTTACTTTCTACCCTCCATAGTTAGATCCACAGAGTAGTATGATGCTTAGATTTTTTTTTGGAGTTTATGGCCTGGTATCTAGACCTTTAGGCCAAGTCTTAAGTATTTTTATTCGGTTTATTGTAATTTCCCCACTCCTTCATAGTATACTGCTTCACAATATGTTGATGCGTCACATTGTGCAGTTCTTGGGAGATTTTGGCGGCAACTTGATCCAGTAGACAGCTGATAGTTGGCGATGGTATCTAAAGGTGCCTATGCAAACAAACAGCTTATCTTGAGAATCCATCACCATCAGAGCACTTGTTTCACTGTTTATACTAATAGTTCACATGCGTAGACACTTAATACACAAAATCGCAACACTTTTACATATCAAAGTCCACTTCAAACCATTATTTAAACAATAATACAGGAGCAGCAAACCGCCGCCGGTCAATTTCCCGCCAAAACTCCCGATGCTTAGATCAAAACGTGACGGGTGACCAGTTTTAAATATTATAATATAATATTAAATATTATTATTATATTAAATATTATTATAATAATCAAAAATCACTTATAACCACCAAAATACCTGGCAATATCAATATCAATAGACAATATATAAAAGTCTACGCCTCTCATTGTTCATGGATTACTAAAATGTCGCATTCTGTTTTGATACCATCTCGCATTTAAGGAAATCAATTTTCTTAATTATAGATGATTTTGGCACTATATTTAGCGTTCTCACAATAAGCAGTGGTTACATTTTGTCTTTATTCGGAAGGTAATGACTATTTCATGTTGCATTTTACTTATGTCTTTGTTTCTATATAAATAATATATTTTCTAATGCTCAATAGTTTTTTAAAACTGTAAAGTTATAGGCCGAATTTCGTAATTTAACATAATGTTATGAATTAATGCTATTTTATTATTATATGCCATACATTTTAAAATCAGCAGGAGAGCGATGACCAATATTTCTTTTGTTGTTATAAATAGATGTTTAATTAATGTATAATATATTTTGTGTTGGTTTTTAAGTATTTTGTTTATAATATAAATATAATTTTATGTAGTGAATTTTTTTTATGCCACAAGTAATCTGATAGTATAAAGTGCAGTTTAGTAAAATTAATAACTTACTAAGTTGTTATCAAAATATTCTTTAGTTTTTATTGTACATAATACTTAGTCTTACAAATTCGTTTTATCTTTAATGTATTATAAATTTCCCACTGTTAGTAGTTCATTTTACATATTTTTAGTCATTCATAATTATCACCAGTTAAGTAAATTTTTCACAAACATAAATAACACTGCTCGGTTTAGTATTAATGTATCTCATTAACAGTCATCCATATGTTATTTATTCGTCTTGTTAGTAATTCCCCTATTTTTAATAGCAATAAATTATAAAAAAAAAATTGATGTAAATTTAAATTTGTTTCTGATTATTTATTTTTAAATTTTAGCCATGAATACCACAGCGCCAACTTCTGCTGATGCCTGCCTTAGTATAGTTCATTCTCTCATGTGTCATCGGCAAGGAGGAGAAAGTGAAGGCTTCTCAAAACGTGCCATAGAGTCACTTGTAAAGAAACTGAAAGAAAAAAGGGATGAATTGGACTCTTTGATTACAGCAATTACTACAAATGGAGCTCATCCTAGCAAATGTGTCACTATACAGAGAACTCTTGATGGACGCTTACAGGTTTTTTAATCATATTTACCTACCTGTGAAAATATGGCAATCAAGTTATTGGAAAAAGTCATTTGCGGGTGAAATAAATTAAAATTCTATATATTAAAGTTTACCATGCTACAACTATATTATGGTTGTAGCATGGTGGGGTCGGCTTGATAGGGAAAGAACAATACTTATGGAATATCAGTGTGAAATAGCAGCTTAATGCTGTGTTTTCTTTGGTGTATGTGGAAAACCGATATAAAAAATATTATATCAAAGATATGTGAAGTTCTCTAACCACCAATGGGACAAGTCCATGGACACTTCCTTGCCCTAAACCCTCTCAAAAATGAGAGGAGGCCAGTGCTCAGGAGAGGGACATGTATGTGCTGGAAGTTTACCATGAATTTACAGTGCTTATTTAAAAATGTCACTATGGAAGCAACAATTTGAAGACAATCTGATGTCAATTTATTATCTGATGACAATTCTGATTCATTTAGAAATGTGTTGTTATGCATTTAATTCATCAGTCTGAAATTCTTACTAAATCTTATGTTTTGTATATAGGTTGCTGGTCGAAAAGGATTCCCTCATGTGATTTACGCACGCATTTGGCGTTGGCCAGACCTACACAAGAATGAGCTGAAACATGTTAAGTTTTGTCAATTTGCTTTCGATCTAAAATGCGACTCAGTTTGTGTAAATCCTTACCACTATGAGAGAGTCGTGTCACCTGGAATTGGTATGTATCATGTTTGTATGACTTAATATTCATGTAGTCACAAAGAAGTGTCATAATTTATAATATTTATATAAAAATAAATATGTAATGTTTAAATATTTTTTGTTCGATCAGTGTTTCGGATGATTTTAGCAGAAATATTTGATTACTCTGTCAAAATATCAAAAGTCCTTATAAAAAGTGAAATATCAAAACTTTTTAGTACCTTTACAAAATTTAAATGGGAGACTGTAATGAATGGTACATAAACATAAACACTCACGCCTGTCACTCAGAGGGGTAGGCACAGACTATGGACTTCCATTTGGCATTATCCTGACACACTCTCTCTCCTGACACTATCTCACTTCGTCCACATCCATATACCATACGCATACACGCTCGTCGGTTAAAGGTACTCTTAATTAGGCACATTTTCCATATATCGCCAATTTGGTCGATAAACTTTCGCCTAGGGCATGCCTTCCCGACTTTGCCATTGACCTCTGCAACATAAATTTGCTTTGTCACTTTCCTGATTAATTCTTTCTACATGACCAAACCACCGAAGTATTCCTTTCTTAATCCTTGTCACAACATTTACTGCTAAAAATAACCCCTTTGTCGTATCTTCTCAGTTTCAAGGTACTCCCCTTGTTGCCTCAGCCAGTATCGGAATCCTCGGCGTTGACATATCGAGTGACGTGCAGTTTCGTTGTCACTTGGAAAAGAAGGCCAAATTGGCCTCTAAAAAGCTTGGCGTGCTCAGCAGAGCGGGACAGTATTTCATGCCAGCTCAACGCCTGCAACTTTACAAGGTGCAGGTTCGGCCTCACATGGAATACTGTTCCCATCTCTGGGCTGGGGCTCCCCAGTGCCAGCTCCTTCCACTTGACCGCATTCAGCGCAGAGCGGCTCGAATCGTCGACGACCGAGTCCTTTCCGAACGGCTGGACTCATTGGCGCTGCGAAGAGATGTTGCATCTCTTTGCATTTTCTTTCGAATTTACCACGGGGAGTGCTCTGAGGAATTGTTCGGATTAATCCCAGCCGCCAAATTTCACGAACGCACATCGCGGCAGAACTCCGGATACCATCCACACCATCTGGATGATTGGCGGTCCACCACTGTGTGATTTAGAAGATGTTTTCTTCCTCACACAACTTCGTTGTAGAATAGTTGACCACCAGCGATTTTTCCGGACCGATACGACTTAGGGACCTTCAAGAAAAGAGCCTACTCCTTTTTAAAAGGCCGGCAACGCATCTGCAATTCCCCTGGTGTTGCGGTTGTTCATGGGCGGCGGTAGTCACTTACCATCAGGTGAGCCGCATGCTCGTTTGCCCCTACACCTATAAAAAAAAAAACTACATCTAGCAAACCACACTCTTCTCTTATCAAACAATTTCTCACCCTGTCATTCAGATTCTGGTACAATGCAATGCATGTGCATTTTGATGCTGTAATGCAACATTGCCATACTTATACTGGCTATGGTATCTCTCTTGTTATAGTATTTCTTACCCAGTTACGAGGGCGGCACTGAAAATTTCGGGAATCAAGGAAGTGAGACAACATTACTATTTAAAAATGTATTTATTGCTTTTCGAAGTATTCTCCGCGGAATTTGACACATTTTTCCATACGATGGAACCAATCATTGAAGCAACCATTCCCTTCTGATGTTGGGGTCTCCAAAATGGTCGTTTTGTAGGCGTCCACAGCTTCTTCAGGTGATGAAAATCTCTGTCCACGCAATTTATTCTTTATTTTAGGGAAAGTATAGAAATCATTAGGGCTTAGGTCGGGGCTGTACGGCGGATGGTCTAATAATTCTGTTTTCTTGCTCTAAAAACTCTTTTGTTCTGTGTGTGGTGTGAGAACTCGCATTGTCGTGATGGAGGATGATGCGGCGGTTACAGTTCTCTTTACGGAGTTCAGAAACGACCTGTGGCAAACAAATGCTAGCATACCATTCTGCATTAACCGTTCTTCCTCAAGAGGAATAGTCGTAACATGGCAGGTTTTGGAGACAAACGTGGCCACCATTTTTTTGCAACACCTCGTGAACGAACAATTTTTGTTTTCTTTAACTCATTTTCGAACACCCAAACTCGTGACTGGTTTTTTGTTTCGGGTTCGTACGCGTATATCCAGGATTCGTCACCTGATACGATGTTGTATACCGCATTTGAGGATCCTGCGTGGAATCTTTCGAGAGTTCTGACGCACCAAGTAACGCGAGCCGCTTTTTGCTCTTCAGAGCGAATGCGGTATCCATCGGGAAAACAACTTTTTTACACCTAATTGTTCATGCAAGATTATTTGTATTTGACTCATGCCAATGTCTAAAGTTGCCTGAATTTCGCGGTATGTCACATATCGATCTTCCTTAATCAGCTTACGCACAGCATCAACGTTTTCTTGGGTGACTGCAGTTTTTGGACGACCTTGACGGGGATCATCACTGAGCTTGACACGTCCACGTTGAAATTCAGCAAACCAGCAATAAATTGTGGTTTTGGATGGGGCTTCATCACCAAATGCAGAAATCATCCGGTCAACACACTGTTTTTGTGTTAAACCATTTCGAAAGTCATAATAAATCATCAGTTGTGAGAAGACCAAGAATCTTTTTTTAAATAAATAAATAGTATTCGATTTTTAAAACCAAGGAGTTTTCAATTAAAAAGATTTTAATATGACACCAACAGTGGAAACATTCCATTCCCGATACTTTTAGTGCAGCCCTCGTATTTAAGTAATCTGAGATTTTTCAGACATTTTTCTTTGAGGACAAACAACTTGGAAGTTTGGAGGAATGACTTTGACTAAACAAGTTTGACAAAACCTTGTGAGAAGACCGAGAATCTTTTTTTAAATAAATAAATGGTATTCGATTTTTAAAACCAAGGAGTTTTCAATTAAAAAGATTTTAATATGACACCAACAGTGGAAACATTCCATTCCCGATACTTTTAGTGCAGCCCTCGTATTTAAGTAATCTGAGATTTTTCAGACATTTTTCTTTGAGGACAAACAACTTGGAAGTTTGGAGGAATTCTTACATAAAAGGGGATAATAAGTCGAAAGGCGGATTTAAGCTGAAGGTGCATTATTTGTCAGCACCGTACGCGCCGTACGCTCCGCATTTATTGATGGCCTCGCACATTGGCGCCTTCTTTTGTATTGCCAACAACTTATGCCGTTTTTTCCAACTACTGGTGTGAAATGGTACAGTGACATTGATTGCTCGCAATCGCTTGAATAGCTATGGAAAAATTGTCGTTGTAACGGCCTACTTATTGCAGAGGAAGAAGAAAATAAAATTTAAAGAAAAAGAAGATTCTGGATTTTGGACTTTGAGGTTCTTCATACGGCCAGCAGTAAAGGTCCATGTCTCAGATCCATAGGTCATCACTGGCAACACGCACTGGTTGAACAATCTAGTTTTGAGGTTCTGAGGTATGTCTAACGAGAAGATATGTCGTAATCTCCTGAAAGCTGCCCAGCCGAGTTGAATCCGTCGATTGACCTCTCGGTCGAAGTTGGACTTACCTAATCGGACTATTTGTCCCAGGTAAACATATTCGTCAACAACTTCGAGCTTAGTGCTCCCAACAACTACCAGCATAGGTGTGACATGGACGTTAAACATGATTTTTGTTTTGTCATGTTCATCTTAAGACCTATCCGTTGGGAGACACTATTGAGGTCATTGAGCTTAGGTCCTTCAGAGATTCTGCTATAAGAACTATATCGTCGGCAAATCGAAGGTGAGTGATGTTCTCGCCATTGATGTTGATGTACCGTACCGTATCCTTTCCAGTCCAGTAGCTTGAAAACGTCTTCCAATGCAGCGGTGAAGAGTTTCGGGGATATTACGTCACCCTGTCTTACAGCTCTCTGCAGTTGTATAGGATTCGTACTTCAAGTACCGGTTTTCCACCCGCTTTCAGAAGCTCTGCTGTAATTCCATCCTCGCCTGGGGTCTTGCCGTTAAGGTGCTGGAGAGCCATTCTAATCTCGCTCAGACTGACGTCCGGGATATCATCGGAATAGTGTCGGATAAGACTTGCTCTTGAATCGTTACACTTGCGTGTGGCTCCAACGATGATGTGTACAGCTGCCTATAAAACCTCTCAATCTCACTCAAAATCTCAGGTGTCTCGGAAACGATGCTGCCACATTCGGTCTTCAGCTTCGACAGTTGGCATTTTCTGGCAGACAGATCTCTGGCCAAGAATTTGGAGCCCTGGTTCCGCGTGATCGCTTCTTCAATACGAGCAATATTAAAGTTGCTTAAGTCCCGTCGCATGCGTTTGGAGATGTGTCTGTTCAGTTGCCTGTATGCTATCAAATCTACTGAAGATTGCAACTTCATTTCCTGTCTAACAGTCATGAGATTAAGAATGTGATTGTAGAGTTCTTCTACAGTGGGTCTTGCAAAATTTAGCTCCGACCGCATGGACAGTTTTCACAAGCTTGTCATTTATATTGTCCACTGCATTGCAATCTTCTAGGCACAAAACGATTTTACAAGTCGAGCTGAAAGTTTTTGAATTTTGAAGGACTTTGGATTAGAGCACGGGGACGGAGCGTTGACTTCATTAGACGTGACCTCTCCAACTTAACGTTTAGGTTTAGTGTGCCTCTTACCATTCGCTGATCGCTACCAGTTTTCACCCTCGCGATCACTGAGACATCACTGAACAGTTGTCGTCTGGTCGTCATAATGAAGTCAATCTCATTTTTCACGACCAGGTCCACTACCTGTGGGGCCGCTTCTGGAAGAAAGAGTTCATAATAAAGAGTCCTTCTTTCACCATGAAGTCGGCCAGCTGCTGGCCCCTTGGGTTCCGTTGCCCTATTCCGAATTTCCCTCCTTTCAGCTCACAGTTCTCTCTTGTGCCTGGTTTTACGTTGAAGTCTCCCATTAACACCGTATAGTGGGTTTTGGAGGAATGTATGGCTCTAGAGATATCCTCATACATTTCCTCCACCTCCTCATCGGGATGTGCCGAGGTTGATGTGTAAACCTGTATAACCTTCAACGAATACCGTTTGGTGATTCTGAGTATAATGTAGGCGACCCTCGTCGACACACTCCCAATCTTTACAACGTTGTTAACGTGAGACTTGTGGACGATAAACACAATCCCGGTGATAGAAGAACAAGTTGCCGGATTCGGGGATTACCGTGTCCTCCCCCTCTCTTCGGACTTCAGATAATACTATAATATTCCAGTGCAACTTGTCTCTTCCAGCTCTAGTATCTTCTCGTCAGTCCTCAAGTTGCGTGCGTTATAAGTTGCCTGGTCGAGTCGTCTTAGGTGGCAACCATACTTCCACCGGAGATTCTTAGCACTTCTTAGTACGGTGCGGCTGCAATGTGTGAGGTTTCATATGATTTCATATAACGAATTCTAAAATGCGGCGCATACGGCGCGTACGGTGCTGACGAATGGGCGTTTAGCTTAAAAAGCACAGGAGTGGATAATTACGTATTATTCACTACTTGTTTCTGCAACACTGAAGATTTTTGGAGCTAGTATAATTTAATATTTTGCCAGTTGTAATTTCATCTAATGCTTTTAAATTCCTCTATCTACGTTTTTAAAATTCCTGTATCCAAATGTTTATATATTATTTCCATGTTATGAGGTTATTAGAGTCACAATGTTCTTTTTTGGGTACTATAAAGGCCACTAGAAAATTCTTAATATCTACTTCAAATCAATTTTATTTTAAGCCAGATTGCATAAACACTTAATTAAATTTTGTTTAAGTAAAATCCGAAACCTTATTTAAAAAAGATATACATTATATATATAGTAATTTTAATTATGATTTCTGTGATGTTTTGGCCACATAATTAAAGTACTTCTTTTAGTGTCACTAATGATTGTATGATAAGAAAGATTTATTTTATAACTAGTTTTTACAGTGGTTTTCCAAAGACTTCAAACACGCATATAGTAATAATAATTCAAAAAGGTCAAATAAGGGTCACTGCAAGGCTTGGCAGGGGGATCTGTAGGTTGCTGGTTACACGAAAATTTGATCATTTCAGATCTCTCTGGCCTTACACTACAGACAGGACCCAGTAGGTTAGTGAAAGATGAATACACAGCAGGTCTCAGCGGCAATGGCATGGACATGGATACAGGCGAATTGGTCACCATCCAGCATCACGCAACAAGCCCCAGACACCATCATTCAACCATACCTCATCACCATCAACAATTCCAGACTACAAATATTATTATCAACCAAGGCCAAAGTAAGCTATTTAAAAAATATTAATTAGTATGTATTTATGTGTTTTATTTTGTTTTGAAATATTTTATGTTGCACTGCATGATAATTTTATTTTGCATTTATTGTCTTAATAGCGCCAGAAAGCGTTGCGAACATGTTTTCGCCGCATGGGTCCCGTCCGCCTATTCGACCGCCAGGCGGGCCACCACAACTCACTCAGCAAATGGTTCACTCTCCAAACGCACAACAAATGTTAACAAATCATCAAGGTGGTCAAATGCAAGGCAACCCACAGATGGGTCCAGGGACTCCACAAATGGGACCTGGAACGCCACAGATGGGACCTGGAACGCCCCAAATGGGACCTGGAACACCTCAGATGGGCCCTGGGACGCCTCAGATGGGCCCTGGCACACCTCAGATGGGGCCTGGGACACCACAAATGGGGACGAATGTGCCGCAAATGGCATCACCGCGAATGGCCTCTGCTCCAACTCAGATGTCTCCAGGAACTCCCCAGATGCCGAACATAAGCCAAGGAATGTCTATACCGAGTCCCCAGCAAATGGTCATGGGTCAACAAAGAGCTATTGCACCAAAATTGGAGCCTCCCGACACAATGGATGCGCGCGCGATGTGGCTGCCTAAGAGAATGAATCATTGTAAGCTTATTGTTTTATTTTGCACCATTATCAGCTACAACACTTATTTTTAATGTCATTTTCTCGTGAATTTTTTAAACTAATTAAAATATTTCATTTCTCATTATAATATTTCAGCAACGATGCCGGTGAGCATGTCTCCAGGGGGCACTACGCCACTTATAGATGGAACTAATACAACATTCTTCACAACCGTACAAACAACTGCAGACACTCAAATGACGCAAACAATTCCAGGTACATAACTTTACAACTTTTATATACTTATATAAAGATATACAGCCAAATTCTTACCTAGTCTAAAACTGGAATACAGCACAGATGGCATTCGGGCAGATGGACAAAATAAAATTGTTTGTTGTATGACAGTGATAACTTAAAAGTAACTAAAATTATGTTTTCTCCATGTTCTGATTAAAATATTTTCATATGATCAGGAGTAATGCTCAGTTTACGACAACTAGACCAATGAGGTAGTTACTCACTACAAGTCATTCATTTTCTTCACTATATATATAATTATAATGAAATAATTAGGTACTCCCTCTCAGAAATGAGAGAAGGCTTGTGCCCAGCAGTGGGATGTATATATGCTGTAACTTTAACTATATCTGTTTTAAAGAGAACGCCGTAAAATGTTTACGAAAAGAAATATTCGGTTCATGTAGTATAAATATATATAGTGGTGGCCATATAATTAGAAACACTTCTTATGAATAAAGAAAGTATAACTTCAACATACAAAAGTTCGTAAAAAATATACACATTCAATAATTAATAATCATGCAATAATATAACCATTCAAATAAAAAACTCATTAAATGCATAAAATATAAAACATCTTACTTTTAATTACAAAATGAGTCTTACACATGTAGGAGTTTATTTTCTGTGACTGGCCGCTTGGACGCCTAATTAGAAATAGTTTAAAAAAGTATCCATAGCTCGTTCTTTTTTTGAAATTGCAGAATAACATTTCTTTCTTGGCTTTTTCTATTATTTTGGCGGCCATTTATAATTTAATTTGAATTTTATTTTGTTCAAAATGGGCAAAAATAAAAGTTGTGACGAGTCAACTAGGCAAATAATTGTTAATTTACATATAGATCATAAGTGGGCGTACAGAAGAATAGCTGAGCATTTAAATTGTTCTGTTAAGAAAGTATTTAATCCAATTGATCACTATAAAACACATGGAACTGTTGAAAATGTTCTTAGAAAGGCTCGGCCAAGAAAAACCTACTCTCCCAGAGAAGATACGCTAATTGATCGTGTTGCTAAAAAAGACCCAAGTAAAGGCTCCAACCAGATCAAAAATTAAGTTTTTTCGCCTGATGATCCGAAAAACATCTCGTCAAGACTGACACGCTAAAGATTAGTGGAAGCTAAATTGTTTGGAAGAATCTCTCGAAAGGTACCGCTTCTTACCAACATCTAAGCAACACCGAAAAAAGCGATTATTATTCGCTAAAAAATATGTTTATGAAACAAAAATAAATATGGTAAATTCCGATGGAAAGCGCGATGTTAGACATCCTGTAAACAATGCTTTTAATTATAAATACACAAGGAGTATAGTCACGTACGGTGGCGGTAACATTAAAGTTTGGGGGTGTTTTTCCGGATGTGGAGTTAGACCCGTTCGGAAGATTGAAGGTAATACAAAAATATCTTAGAGCACACAGTGATTCCATACTCGGACCATCATTTGCATGTAACCTCGATCTTTCAGCATGACAATGACCCTAAACACACGGCCGATAGCGTCAAATGTTTCCTTATCGAACAGCGTATATCCGTTTTAGACTGGCCAGCAAATAGTCTGGATTTAAACCCGATAGAAAATCTCTGGTATATTGTTAAAAAGAAAGTCTCTAACAAACATAACACCAGTCAAAGCCAACTATATGAAGCATTTGTTGAAGCATGGAATTCAATCCCCCTAGAAAAATGTATAAAATTGATTGAATCAATGCCACGTTGTTGCAGTGCTGTTATTGAAAATAAGGGATACGCCACCAAATATTAATTATAGCTATTGGTAGGCTGTGGATAGTAGCTATTTCGTAAATAACAATACTAATTACTAATACTTAAAAAATATTGTTTTTTATACTTTTTTGTTGTTGTTTCTAATTAGTTGACCATTATCGTTCATACCTTAAAACTGATTTAAATGTTTGTCCGTATTATAATATTGAAACTGCACTTGTGTAATGGGATTTATATTGTTTTTCTAATAATTGATAAATCGTTGAACATATTGTTGTCCTATTTATTGTTTAATTTCAAAATACAAACGATTGCAGTGAGATATCTTACATAATGTCAAGGACCATTGGTAGTGTTTCTAATTATACGACCACCACTGTATATATAGTCAGTGATATATTTAATATATAATTATGTATATATATATATATATATATATATATATATATATATATATATATATATATATATATATATATATATATATATATATATATATATATACATAATTATTATATATTTCAGCAGGCACAGTAACAGTAGCGGCGGTGTCGTCGGTGGGGACTGTGCCCGGAGTGCAGACCACTACAGTTGAGACACAGCAGAACGGTTTTGTAAATGCCACAAGTCCTGCTCCTCAGCCCAGTCCACTTCCACATCGTACCCAAAATCAGCACCAGCAAGGTGAGAAAGTAAAATGATGCATTTAATTAAATAGCATGTCAAGAAACTAGCTTAAGTTTGAGAGGTATTAATTATTAAATTTAGTTAACTGTAAAATCAAATTTGGTATGGACCGTGTAATGGCGGGGTAACAATATCCACTACCCCATATCGTCTTGTGGGTGTAGTAAGAGGTAATGGTGGGATACTAAAAAAAATTGCGGTTGTCAACCAGCCTGCTAAGCGTGGCGGCTATTGTAAATATCCTCCCCCCCACCCTTTGAGGCAAGCTATGGGGTAGGCCTACGTTCTTCAGTGGACTTTTAATAGGTTGTAATGGTAAAGATTAATTTAGTAAAAGTATTATAATTTATGTTGGTATTAAATGTCAGGTATGGGAACACGCATCAAAGTTTTCCCATATTCTGGCATTGTCATGGACATGATAAAGGCGTAGTTACGTAAAAGGGATCCAACCCATGAAAGGCTATGTTTGAAATGTTGTAGTTTATATTTTAAGGAGACTCTTGATGAACACATAATCTGCCTAACTATAAGTTGTAAATGGTGTGGTCCGAACAAATATAAATGTGTAGTCACCCTTGGGAACTATAATTTGAAATTAATAAAGGAGCAAGAGACGTCTCCATACATTCTTGGGCTCAAGTGTTAACAAGATGAAAGTAGGACCATTTGAAAGCGAATATATAAACAATTCATAGTTGAAAATCTGGCAAGATTTGTCAATCTAGGAGCTGAGTTATTGTAGAATAAGTAAAAGTGAGATTATCTATTATCTACTCTATAACAAGTGATTTTTCACTGTTATTGCACTGTAACAGGCTATTTTTCACTATAATTACTTAAAGATATAAAAGCAGGATCTGTATAAAATTACCAAAAAGTTGAGGTTAATAATGAAACGAAATGGTGAAACGATTAACGAAAATTAAAACAACAACAACTAAGGGAATTGAATATTAGGGATATCGATCTGGTATCGATTACTTCAATTGTTGTTGTAACTGTTACGTGTTGGAATGTTGATCTTTTGTGTTATTATTATTATTTTTTAGATATGTACGCAATTATTTTTTATCTCCTTAACACAGAAATATAATCGAAAATAGATATTAAAATGCTCAATTTAATCGAGAATCGATTATATTGCGCTCGTTTCAAATCGAATCGAAAATCTGTCTTTTCCTTTTAAGTAAATAAATAGTTTGAAGTTTGAACTGTCAAGTTTCAAAATAAGTCCACTTTTAGAAGATAATGTTCAGAAACGGGGATTCCACTAGTGTATTTTTTATGGTAATCGATTTAATGCCATAAAGAATACACTACAATCGATTTTCTAACTTATTTTTTATTTTATTGTTTTTTCGAATTCTAGATTGTAAAAAGACTAAGCTGCGTCTTTTTGTAAACTGTATTGTAAGCTACGTCTTTGTATTTTACTATATAAAAATATGGCCAATTTTTTAAAGTATAAACCAATTACTTAACTTCAGGCCCAAAAATCCCATTCTCCTTTGTACAACCGACTTCAGTATAAATTATAAAGAATATCTCAAAAACTATTGGTCAGACCTTGATATTTATTATTTTATTTTATTTATATGGGATTATATATATTATTTTATTTATATGGGACCACATGAGAAGCACCCGCTTTCAAATAAAAAAATTATCATCAAAATCGGTTCACCCAGAAAAAAGTTTGGAGGTAACACATAAAAAAAAAACATACAGTCGAATTGAGTACCTCCTGTTTGAAGTCGGTAGAAAATAGATATTAGTACCAGTAAAAAGGGTCTGTTTTTGGAACATAGCCCATTTAGATCCTAGAATCTGTCCTAGCAGAAAACTAAATATGGCCAATGGGTCTTTGGTAGATAGAGTTGATGACAGAAACAAGCCCTAATTTTTGAATACGAATATCATTAGTCAATTTTAGTGTTAATAAAATTTTGGTTCTAAATGTAAACTGCTGAAAATAGTATCAAATTTACATTTTATGAGGTCTGGCTAGCGCTTGGTATGATTGCTGTTGGACCTCACCCGCTCTCAAGTTTCTATGATACAGATTGGAAGACATATTTTTGTGAAACTCTTCATGCAGCTCAACTTTCAAACCTATCATAAAGTAATTTAACAAACATGTGTTGGCGTTAGTTAAGCCTATTTAAAATCCAGTGATAAGCATTGGTTTCTCTTAATTTATGATAATTTGTTTTTTTTATACCTATGACTTTTAGATCAAGCATTTCTGCTAAATAATATGCTAAATTGCAAAACTTTTTTAAATGTAGGTATTTTTCGACATAGCTTAAAAATAAATTTATTTCATAGGCACTTGGACTGGCAACAACACACTTACGTATACGCAGAGTCTCGCACCTCCCCCAGCCGCCCCGCCCGTCCCAGTTGATGCACCTGCACATCATCATCATTACTGTAACAGTTTTTTTTAATATAAACATACTATGAATAATACTTTATAATTATAAGTGATTTCTAACATATAATGACCAAAGGCACAGTTAGTTGGTACTAACTTTGTCTTTAGTAATTTTACAATAGTAGCTGTCAATTATCTGTTTTAAATCATCGATTAATATTTTCTTAGAAGTGGTGAAATTAAAGACATCCAAAGAACGCTATTACACAAGAATTTCATACTTTATATTCTGTAACATGGAAATTAAATCATATTTTCATTTAACTGTCATATTTGTTTAAGGAATAAGACGCTAAATATTATCTTTATTTACAGATAATGGCAACCCTGGTGGTTTACTGTCAAGCCAACCGGCACCAGAGTACTGGTGCTCAGTAGCATATTTCGAATTAGATACGCAAGTTGGAGAAACCTTCAAGGTCCCTTCAAGTAGACCTAATGTCACTGTGAGTGTAATGTAGACATTGTTTTTATAACACATTATTTTATTATATTGTCTTTATTTCTCAATAATTATAAATGTACTTTATGTTTTAGGTCGATGGGTACGTCGATCCGTCTGGTGGTAACAGATTTTGTTTAGGAGCTCTAAGTAATGTTCATAGAACAGAACAAAGTGAACGCGCAAGGTTAGTACCTTTTTATTTCATGTATAAAAAAACTATAGTGACAGTATTATCAACCTCCAACAGCTAGCTCATCTCTCACACCCGTATTCAAGAACAATACTATAATAATAACCCTTTTTTTTTTTCATGTACTACATACGTTGTGCGATGTTTAAAATTAACAGGCCTGGATACTTAATATTTGGCGTGTATTAGATGATTAATTAATTATCTAATTTATTTTTTTGAACCTAATTATACAAGATTTGATTGTCTCGGGATGATTTCTGCAACTCCACGCTAAAGCGCGAATTCTGCGTGTAGGCAGGAATTATAGTTATTTGAGCCAACCTAGCGTCTAACTTGAATTGTAATGTTTCCAGATTGCACATTGGCAAAGGTGTACAATTAGATCTCCGCGGTGAGGGCGATGTGTGGTTACGTTGCTTGTCCGACCACTCGGTGTTCGTGCAGTCTTATTATCTAGATCGAGAGGCTGGCCGAGCACCAGGGGATGCAGTACACAAGATATACCCATCTGCTTGTATAAAGGTACATTGTCTTTTTAAATTGAGATTTTTTAAAAATAATTGTATATTCCTAATACATACCTAAATTAGGAATTATTTTAATTTATTTACAAACCATATAAACAATATTTATAACAGTAGAAAACTAAATAATATTTCCCTCCCAAGTGTGCGATATAAACTCGGTTTCGCTTGTAATACCTCTACAATTTCTCTCCCAAGTGTGTGATACCACGCCGGTTTCGGTTCCAGGTGTGCAATATCTCGTTAGTTTACCTTCTCGGTGCGCAATATCTTTCAGATTTTGTTTTGAGGCACGATATCCCTCCGATTTCTCTTCCAACTGTGCAATACTAGAATGTATCGATTATATGCTTTTTGTGCGATACCTCGTTGTTTATGCTTCTAGGTGTGCAATCATTTCATCATCATTACAGCCCTTCACAAGTCCACTGCTGAACATAGGCCTCCCCCAAAGAATGCCACAAAGCACAGTCCTGAGCCACCTGCATCCATCGACTTCCTGCATGTCTTACCAGGTCGTCACTCCATCTCGTGGGGGGACGCCCTACACTTCGCCTACCGGTACGAGGCTGCCACTCGAGAACCTTTCTTCCCCATCGGTTGTCGGTTCTTCGAGCTATATGGCCGGCCCACTGCCACTTCAGCTTACTAATCCGTTGGGCTATATCGGTTACTCTGGTTCTACTGCGGATATCCTCATTCCTAAGTTTATCACGCAGAGAAACTCCGAGCATAGCCCTCTCCATAGCTCGCTGAGCGCCCTTGAGCTTCCTCATACGGCCAGCAGTGAAGGACCAGGTCTCAGTTCCGTAAGTCATCACTGGCAACACGCACTGGTTGTACAATTTCGTTTTCAGGTTTTGAGGTATGTCTGACGAGAAGATGTGTCGTAGCTTCCCGAACGCTGCCCAGCCGAGTTGAATCCGTCGATTGACCTCTCGGTCGAAGTTGGACTTACCTAGTCGGACTATTTGTCCCAGGTAAACATACTCGTCAACAACTTCGAGCTTAGTGCTCCCAACAACTACCGGCATAGGTGTGACATGGACATTGAACATGATCTTTGTTTTGTCCATGTTCATCTTAAGACCTATCCGTTGGGAAACACTATCGAGGTCATTGAGCATAGTCCTTAGGTCCTCCAGCGATTCTGCCATAAGGACTATATCGTCGGCAAATCGAAGGTGAGTGATGTACTCGCCATTGATGTTGATACCGTATCCTTTCCAGTCCTGAAGCTTGAAAACGTCTTCCAATGCAGCGGTGAAGAGTTTCGGGGATATGACGTCACCCTGTCTTACACCTCTCTGCAATTGGATAGGTTTCGTACTCTGATTCTGTACTCGGATAGCCATCGTAGCCCTACTGTACAAGCACTTCAACACTTCGATATACCGACAGTCAACTTGGCACCGCTGAAGGGACTGCAGCACCGCCCAAATTTCGACGGAATCAAAGGCTTTCTCATAGTCCACATACGCCAGACATAGTGGCAAATTGTACTCTTCGGACTTCTGTACAATTTGCCGAAGGGTATGTATGTGGTCTATGGTGCTAAAGCCCTTTCGGAAACCGGCTTGTTCGGGAGGCTGGAAGTCGTCAAGTCTGCGCGCGAGACGATTCGTAATGACTCTCGAAAACAGCACGTAGACGCGCTTCAGAAGGGAAATCGGTCTGTAATTCTTCAAGAGAGCGTTGTCACCTTTCTTGAAGAACAAGACCACCGCACTTCTGCTCCACGCCTCCGGTGTAATGCCACCATGGAGGACGGAATTAAAGAGCTTCTGAAGGACTTCAAGTACCGGTTTCCACCCGCTTTCAGAAACTCCGCTGTAATTCCATCCTCGCCTGGGGCCTTACCGTTTTTAAGGTGCTGGAGAGCCATTCTAATCTCGCTCAGACTGACGTCCGGGATATCTTCGGAATAGTGTCGGATGAGACTCGCTCTTGGATCGTTACTCACACTTGCGTGTGGCTCCAACGATGACGTGTACAGCTGCCCATAGAACCTCTCAATCTCACTCAAAATCTCAGGTGTCACGGAAACGATGCTGCCACATTCTGTCTTCAGCTTTGACAGGTGGCTCTTTCTGGCAGACAGATCTCTGGCAAAGACTTTGGAGCCTTGGTTCCGCTCGATCGCTTCTTCAATACGAGCTGTATTGAAGTTGCGTAAGTCCCGCCGCATGCATTTGGAGATCTGTCTGTTCAGATGCCTGTATGCTGTCAAGTCTGTTGAAGAATGTAGCTTCATCTCCCGTCTAACAGCCATGAGATTAAGAGTGTGATCGGAGAGTTTTTGTGTTCTTCTGCGGCGGGTCTTGCAGAACTTAGCTCCGACCGCATGGACAGTTTCCACGAGCTTGTCATTCATATCGTCCACTTCATTGCAGTCTTCTAGGCACTGAAAACGGTTTTGTAACTCGAGCTGAAAGGTTTCGGGACTTTGGAACAGAGCACGAGGGGGACGGAGCGTTGACTTCATTAGACGAGACCTCTCCAACTTAACGTTTAGGTTCAGTGTGCCTCTAACCATTCGGTGATCGCTACCAGTTTTCACCCTCGCGATCACGGAGACATCACTGAACAGTTGTCGTCTGGTCGTCATAATGAAGTCAATCTCATTTTTGTCGAACCGTCGGGGCTTGACCAGGTCCACTTCCTGTGGGGCCGCTTCTGGAAGAAAGAGTTCATCATAAAGAGTCCCTCTTTCTCCATGAAGTCGGCCAGCTGCTGGCCCCTTGGGCTCCGTTGCCCTATTCCAAATTTCCCTACTTTCAGCTCACCGTTCTCTCTTGTGCCTAGTTTTGCATTGAAGTCTCCCATTAAGACCGTATATTGGGTTTTGGAGGAATGCATGGCTCTAGAGATATCCTCATACAATTCCTCCACCTCCTCATCGGGGTGTGCCGAGGTTAGTGCGTAAACCTGTATGACCTTCAGCGAATACCGTTTGGTGATTCTGAGTATAAGGTACGCAACCCTCGTCGACATACTCCTGATCTTTACAACGTTATTAACGAGAGACTTGTGGACGATAAATCCGACACCTCCTTGGGACAGATGGTCGCCCTTCCGGTGATAGAGCAAGTTGCCGGATTCGAGGATTACCGTGTCCTCCCCCTCTCTTCGGACTTCGGATAATCCTATAATATGCCAGCGCAATTTGTCTATCTCTTCTTCCAGCTCCACGATCTTCTCGTCAGTCCTCAGGGTGCGTGCGTTGTACGTTGCCAGGTCGAGTCGTCTAAGGTGGCAACCGAACCTCCACCGGAGATTCTTAGCACCCCCTGCCCCGCCGTTACCGTGGTCGCCACCGTAGCCAGGAATAGCGGGGCCGCCGGGGACTGGGGGCCGTCTCTTTGTTACATTCATAGGGGTGTATTTGCCATAGTTGCCACGCTTGGCGTGCGGGTTGGCAACCGCAGTTTTTTTATTGTAATTTTGGCTATTATCAGGAAGATGCTGCTGCCCATCTCCTGCCTGTTTCCCTTTGTCGCCTTTTACGACACTTACGGGAGGATATGGGGTAGTGGATATTCTTGACCGCCACTACACGGCAGTATCTGCCGTGTAGTGGCGGTGTGCAATATCTGCGCTATATTAGTCCGAGGCGTGTGCTATTAAGATTTGTGAATGTTGCAGGTGTTCGATCTGCGGCAGTGCCACCGCCAGATGCAGACGCAGGCGGCCACGGCGCAGGCGGCGGCCGCGGCGCAGGCGGCTGCCGTCGCCGGACACATCCAGCCCGCGCACCCCGGCATGAACAAATGTACGTCGCATCATCTTCCCTTTCGAAATGCACGCATCAGTGACCTGAACTGCTAATAGGCATATCAGCAGTCCGAGATGGGCGCACATACTACTCGGATGGTGGTTAGATACGGGTAGCTCAAAAACACCTTACGGGGGACATGGTGATTGGTTTCGAACCAAATCATCAGAATCATCATCGTCTTTCTTTTATATAGCTTGCGGCCGCGAAATTCAACTCAATTGAAACTAAAAGCCAAAAGGTTAACAGCACTAACATCTCAGAATAAAGAGAAAACCATAGCTCGAAGGATCAACGGCCGGAAGAAATGTTGTCAAACGGCAGCCTCGCGTCGATCTTAATTTTAGAATGTTTCGAAAAGTTTAGGGTCAGAATATAAAATTTCACTTTTGTCATTTTCTCTTGTACGAGTTTGTGGTTGGGTGGTCCCGTAATAAATAGAAATTTGTAGGAAGTCGGGTGCAGTTGCCTAAAGACCATGATGTCGTAAAAATAGCACATTACTTCGCTGTACCGTTTGTTTTAATTGCAACTTCATACCTCCTACAGTTTTTGACAGAATTATATGAGAATTTAGAAGGGTAAAATTTTAAATGTTTAGATAAATGTATGTATCATTTTGTATGTATGTGCATATAATTTTATATGCACTTTCCTTACACTATATTACGTGATAGACCACACAGCTCGAGCGGGTTGGCTTAATCGAGGTAAGACTACGTTCGCACAGAATACCAGCGAGAAAGAGCAGATTAATGCTGCTGTTTCGTATTGTGAGTGTAAAGAACCCTTTTAACTCGAAACGAGGCATTCCGTCTTAGTTCTCAGGTGTGACAAGTGACTACACATCTGCATTATGATTCTTAATCAATGAAACATGTCTACACAAACAAACATGGCCATAGCATCCACCTACCATAAGGTGAACTGTGTTATAATTTATCACCCTTATTGTATTAAAAAATATGAATTGTAGATTTAAAAACCTTTTTCAAATTTCAAGAGCCAATTTAGCTCAGGGACAAAGCGCTCGCGGATATATTTTGTAATGCGCAAGCAACCCGAGTTCTGTTCTCGTCACGGAAGTTGTTAATTACTATTTTAAGTGCTGATTTATCACATTATATATTTTTATTATTATTTTTATAAAATCTGCATGTCAAATGATCTAATGAATGAGAAAATATTCTGAGAACATGTGAAGTTCGCCCACATGCACTGGAGCAGCGCGGCAGACTGATCGTTTCATAACTCTCTTACTAGTAAGAGGAAGATACTTACCCCCTTGATAGTGAAATATTGCTGCACTAGCTCTAGTAATATCCAGCTCTACAAAGAACTGTGTGTAAAGGCTTAAATAAAATCACCCTCATTGAAATTTCCATCAGGTCTGACTGCAGCGGCTGGCATCGGTGTGGACGACTTAAGACGGCTTTGCATCGTGCGGCTCTCATTTGTGAAGGGATGGGGCCCTGATTACCCGCGCACCTCAATCAAGGAGACACCGTGTTGGGTCGAAGTGCATCTACACCGGTGAATATTTTATTTTTATAATTAAAAAAAAATATAATTCTTCTTCTTCTTCTTCTTCTTCTTCTTCTTATCTTCACGCACAATCCCTGTCGGGGTAGCCAGAGAGAACAGATCGCCAAGTGTCACGATCCTTACTTACCTCTTTCGCTTCTTTCAGATTCATTATCTTCTTCATACATGCACGTCTAAGTATCCGAGTACTCTTGACCCTAGCCTCTTCGAGCAATTTGCTCACATGGTCTTCGAAAGTTAGGCTCGGTCTACCTCGACACCTTTTAATATTAACTTTCGCGCTATATATTTTCTTCACCATTCGCTCAACGTGCCCAAACCACCGAAGCACGCCCTTATCAATTTTTGTGATAAGGTCATCTTTCAAACCTGCCATTATGCGAATCTCATCGTTTCGCTTTCGGTCGGCCAAGGTAACGCCGCACATTTTACGAAGAGATCGCATCTCCACTGCATTCAACTTGCTTTTATGCTTCTTCTGGCATACCCAGGTTTCGCTGCCATATAACAAAGTCGGTACCAACACTGCGTTATGTATTGCAAGGCGTGCACTCTTTACTTCGCCTTGCCTTTTGACTAACGCAGTCAGGGCACCATTGACTTTGTTCCCGGCAGCGACACGCCTGTCCACATCTAAATCACATCTTCCATCCCGGCTAAAAGCACTCCCCAAGTATACAATTTCATTTACCTGTTCTAGACATTCCTGATTTACCCATATTTCACACTTCGTTCTCTCTTCGTCCCTTTCAACTTTCAAATACCAGAACCCTAGTTTTATTAGCATTCAAACGGAGACCTTTAATTTCACATTCCTCTTTCATACATGTGACTAATGCCTGCAGTTCTGCCTCTGATGGTGCAATAAGCACTGCATCATCAGCATACAGCAGACAATTTACTTTTATGTCACCCAATTTCACACCCAAACAGCTATCTTTCAGCTTCTGTAAACAGCTGTCGAGATACAGTATGAACAGCCAGGAAGACATGACACAACCCTGTTTTACGCCCGTTTGGATGCTAAACATGGGTGATAGGTCATGCCCTACCCGCACACAGGCTTTACAGTCCCAGTAAAGAGACTGCACAGCCCTTAGCAATCGACCATCCACACCATACCCCGGCAACAGTTCCCACATTTTCTTCCTTACAACCTTATCAAATGCTTTCTCAAGATCCACAAAAGCACAGAAAATCTTCTGGTTAGCAGCCAGAAGCTTTTCCGTGATCATGCGGAGAGAAAACATTTGATCCGTGCATCCTCTTCCAGGTCTAAATCCGCATTGTGCCTCCCATAGAAATCTTTCCGATTTCTCTTGCATCCTACGTGTCAAAACCTTCGAGTAAACTTTACTTGCTAAACTGGTCAAGCTGATTGCCCGATAGCACCCGCAGTCAAAATGTGAACCTTTACCTTTATATAAAGGCACAATGACTGCGGATCGCCAATCATCCGGGACATCCCCCGTCCGCCAGCACAAATTGCACAGCAGATGAAAGCTGTCCCAGACGCGAGGCCCACCATACTTGACCATTTCAGCAGTAACTCTGTCTAGTCCCGCAGCCTTACCACATTTCAAACTTCGAATCGCACGTTCAATCTCTTTCATACTGATGACCTCAGTGTCATCGAGGTCCGGGTCTGGCGTACCAGTCACGGCGTCATCCCCGGATCCCTCACTAAGATCATCACACGCATACATTTCTCTATAAAATTCGCTCCATCGCTGCTTGACGTCCGATTTTTCTGAGAGGACTTCATTAGTTCTCGAAAGCACTTTGTTCATTCTTAAGGCCGTCGCACCACTTCGGGTCCTTCCAACCTCTCCAGAAGAGTTTGGAGTTGTCCTTAAAGTTGTGCGACAACCTTTCGTCCGCTTCCATTCTACACCTTTCACGCACTTCCTCAATCAATGCTTTCGTGTGAACTTTCTGCAGCCTATATCTTTCTTTCATCTTCTCTCTCACATCCTTATCATTACTAGAGGCCAAGTAGTCTAACCATGCTTTCTTCTTCTTCTTTACAGTTTCTTTCACTTCAACATTCCACCATGCATCTCTTCTTTTACTACTGCCTCTTTTTATTGTTCCACACACTTCTTCCGTTGCACTTACCATTCCATCCCTAAGGTTCTGCCATGTTCTTTCTACACATTCTTTTCTGCCATCGATGGTGTCAAGCTTTTCGGCTACCCTCGCATGATATTTGTCCCTAGTATCCGCTTCCTGAAGCTTCCAGCTTCGGATGCGACAGACCGACTGTGGTTCTGTTACTGCCGTCCGGTAGCGCCAACTCGCGAATAGAGCCCTAAATCTAGTAATCACTAGATAGTGATCAGTTCCCAGGTCAGCACCCCTGAACTCTCGCGTATCCATCACCTGTTTTCGCAGTCGGTCATCCATCAGGAACAAATCGATCATACTTCTCTCATTCTTTCGTTCTCTAGTATACATATGGATTTTCTTGTGATTAAACATAGTGTTTGTCACAAGAAGACCCTTTTCCTTGCATACCGCCAGTATAAGCTTGCCAGCATCATTAACCCTTTTATCGCCAAACTTTCCAAGTACCGACTCGTATCCTGGTCGAGCGGTACCAACCCATCCATTCAAATCACCACATACAACAATTCTTTCGTTTCCCCTAGCCAAATCTAGAACTTCTCTTACATGCTCCCAAAACTCCTCCAGCTCAGCCCTGGACGACATAGCTACCGGCGCATAAACAGCCAAAAGGAATAACTTCGTCAGTCCCAATTTAAAGCGAACCCAGAGAAGTCTTGAGTTCACAACCTTATATTCAGTCATAACATCGACCAACCGAGAAGACAGCAGCACCCCCACTCCCTGGCAGGCGTTCTCGCTCTCCGGGACTCCGGACCATAGAGCTAACGCCCCGCCAGGGAGCTCTTCAGTACCACTGCCCTTCCGTTTGGTCTCCGACATACACACGACATCTAATTCTCTTTCTTTCATTATTTCGATCAACTCATTCGTTTTATCTCTCATGCCTCCTCTAACATTCCACGTGCCAACTTTGCACTCCGTCCTCCACCTTCCGCCGTGTCGGGCTGTGCGTGACGGGTGGCGGTCCCCATCGCCGCTTTGCGCGCTGCATTCCACACCAACGAGCTGGTGTGCGTCGCCTTGGGGGGACGCCCTAACCCTCGTTGGCATGGGTGCAGTTGAGTAGAATTGCAGCCCTGAAAAGGGCTGGCAGGGGTCGCGACGAGCACGCTTCTACAATGACCCCCTAAAATTTAAATTAAAGATAATATATTAAAGAAAGAAATTCTTAGAAGCAGCCCTGAGTCAGAAAGTTGGTTTCAATCCCGTGCCCCGGAAAGCACGTAAAGTACGTAAAGTAGGTCCTGCACCTGTTCTCTCTCTGGTCGTATTGCATAGCCGTCCCATCGGACTATGAGAGTGACGGAATAGGGAGTGCACCTGTGCTTGTGCATACACTCATGCACTATAATCCTGTCCTGCGCAATGGCTAGTTTCTGTTGAGAACGACTAAATTCGGTCTGGAAGAGGATTATTATTATATTCTCATATCCAATCATCCATCCTTTTCAATTTGTCCTTTGTTGAAGATAGGCCTCACCCATAGATTGCCTCATAGGGGGGATTGTGTCATAGTTGCCGTATTTGGCTAGCAGTTTGGCAACCATATTTTTTTTATAATTTTGAGAAGATATTCAGAGAACATTTTGCACGTGGTAGAGCTATATGCTGCAGCTATATTAGTAATATAGTTGTAGCACGAATGGGTCGGCTGGACCGGGGAAGGACCCCGCTCTCACGGAATACCAGCTTAAAATGGCAGCTTGACACTGCTGTGTTTCGTATGGTGAGTGTAGAGAATCGGAAACCCAATTTACTGGAAAAGAGGAATTCCATCTTAGTCCTCACGGGTGACGACGCATCTGCATTTAGATTCTTTATTGAGGATAAATGTAGATGTCTATGGTTCACAGCAACCACTTACCATCAGGTGGACTGTGTGCTCGTTTGTCACCTTAACTTATAATAAAAAGATGCTGCTGCCTATCTCCTATTTAATTTTCCTCTGTTGACTTTTATGACACTCATGGGACGATATGGGGTAGTGTATATTTTTACACCACCACTATATTGTATTTTAAATGGGTTGCAATAAGGCTTAGCAACAGCTATAAATATCTTGTTTATGCTTTTGTTAAGCTTCATTGCAACGGCAGTTGTATTCCAGTTTCAATGTTCTATTGTAGAAATGCAGGAGGCCACTTTCAGTCGTTAAAATTCGTTTTTTAGTTCTAGGTTCTATATATTTTTTACTATGTAAATAGATTGTGACAAGCACTGGGTTGTAATAAGTAAAAAAAAAAAACTCCTTTCATGGCCTAGGAGTCCGTCGGAGTAGATAGGTACCACCCTCGTATCTATTTCTACCACCAAATAGCAGTGCTTACACTGCTGAGTTTCGGCTCAAGGGATATAGAGAGCCAGTATAGTTACAGGCTTGTGATGTCCTCAGAGGTGACAACGAATCTATCCTTCAAGCTTTTTTTAACACTTTACTGCAGGTGTCCATGTATTCCAGTAGCCAATTATCATCACGCGGACTCGTAAGTTCGTTTGTCACTTAATTTAATTTTATATATATAAAAAAAAAACTAAAATTATCATACTTTTACTGTCTCAGAGCACTCCAACTCCTTGACGAAGTTCTGCACACGATGCCTATCGACGGTCCTCGGACAACCATCGAGTAGGAGTTGATCGGCTTCTTTTGAGGCCTTCGAGCGACATTGGGCATGTCGCCGCGACTCGTGACACGCGACATGCGACATGTCGCTTTGACGCGCGTCGCTCTGTACATTATTGTTCGCGCCACCACTCAAATGTACGTTGCATGTGACCGTCTTATGATTTATATATAAACTTATATATCAATTAGTAGAAAATTAATTGATTATTTTGTAAAATCATACTATATGGTACAAATATGTAACACTAACACAATAATAAACACGGTGTAAATGTTACCAAAGTTCACAAAGTAACCTTTTGCCTGTACAATTAAAATTAAGGGATTAATTATTGATAAAAATAGGTACAAATGCATATTGTACAAAATAGTCACTGTTAAATAACAAATATATAAAATAAAATACATACAAGAGTCATAGATTTCATTAAAAAAGGTTGTTAAAAAGTTATTAAAAGTAATATTGTAGCAAACATGTGGTATAAAATGGGTACAACCCGGGAGGTCCACACTATAAACTTCCCAGTAGGCAGTCACCAATAATAGAAACTTCGATAATTGAATAGGAAAATAGGAATACTATTAATTTGTACATATTAAAAAATGTTCCTCAGAGTAAATAGTCCACATTATCAATTGCAAAATTCGGTTAGTTTGCCATTTATTCAGCTAATTTATTCATACAAAAAGAAACTGCTGGACCAATATTGATAAAAGCTTAATCACATTCTAATTACATGGTTGTGTTTCAAATGAAACCTAAACGACATCTTTGCATCGAATGAAAAGACGTATTTACATAGTCCTGAAAACCATAGCATCTGACAGATTGACAGCTGGAGATATGTCGAAATTTGGAATTTGGAAATTCGGACCCATTTCCTACTGGAAAGTTAAATATACGAAATAATGGATATCTTTTGAGTGGTGGTGAGTGAATAATAATAGAATGTGCAAGTTTGTTTCGCGACGGATAGTGATTTGCATGGAACTGTAGAGTGTTGAGAAGAATTGTTGGATTGTGATACTATGTATGTTTAGTGAGATGCCATATTGAAAGCATTTATTAAAAATTTTGTTAATATTGATTTATATTTTCGTTACGTTCTAGTACAGTGATTTCGGCCTATTGTCTTCCAAATTCTTTCTTTAGTTTGTCTTCCGTTTGTGAAATTTGTTAGTGGTTCCTTTAGGAAAAGTGATTTGAGAATTGTGCTTAGGAATGTGAAACTTTGAAACAAATATTGCACATTACATGAAGCGCTTCGCTCGCGTTTATAACAAAAGGTGAACTATTAATTTATGTCTTGTATTTATTTATATTAACATCTAAGGAAGTACTGTCGGCTTCATGTCAAGTTGTAACCAAAAACCGGTCTTATTGCAGTGTCTTAAGGCACATATTAAGTTGTCGTGCGGTCGACTGTACAATAAACGATAAGTTAAATATAACATAGATATTTATACCAGTATTGAGACGGAACAAAGTAAAGAGCATATTGAAACGATCTCAGTAAAATATTTTTCACAAATCCTAAATGAATTAACGTTAATATACTTATGTAAGATATTAGTGCTATGTATACATACATATAGAATCGACAAACAATCTGTTGTTGCTCAATTGAGTTTATTGAGATAGTTTTGTCGACTTGTTTTTGTAAAGAAAATATGGATATACGAATTTTAGTAACAGCGATACCAAAATAAGGCATTTTCTTTATAGTAACTTATATAGGTTAAATATGACAAGACATAATTATGGTTCAACTTGAAAGAAGCCAAATTGGAATTAGCTTTTTATATAGATATAAGATGAGATATTGTGTTATGTAGGTTTACAGTAATAAAGTATATATTAGATGTAAGTTGTACGTATAATAAATGCGCGCAGTTTGGAGAAATTGAACTTAGATTGACTGTAATTGTATGGGACACAAGGCACGCGCACTGCATTTATGGTAACAGTAAACTTTCCGGTTATTTACATATTATATTTTCACTCTATCCTATATCCATTTCATTTTATCTATTTTAATTTATGCAGGATTACCGGAGAGCCGACTTGGTTTTACTGATTCTGTTTTTTAAAGAGTACTTTACTATTCAGTATTGTTACACTAATGTAATATTCTACTCAGGTAATTTCCAATTATATGCACGAATTACTAATGTTATTCATAAAAGTCAAAAAGATAAACAAAGAAATGTCGTTGTCAAACTGACAGTCGGCTCCTAACCAGACGCTTGAAACATTTGATATTTTTGGTACAAATTAAAATTAAAATTTAAATTAAAGCAAAAACTAGGTATAATAAAAATATTTATAAAAAATAAGGATGAACAAACAAAACACAATAACAGCAGAAGTTAATAACGATGTAATAGTTTTTGCTCTTTAGGCGTTTACGAGAGCAAGAAACTCATACATGCAATCTGGAAAGAGTCAAACTGAAATAATAAATATATGTTGAAACATATGTTTTTTATATAATGCCAATACTATTGTTAACCGTTTTGCTACTAGATTAATAATTTGAGTATATAAGTTATTATAGATCTGAAAATTTGACTAGTAAAACACAAGTTACACATGCAAAACGCCCAAAATTTAGTTCAATTTACATGGCAGGCATTGCCGTCGCCAGGATTACTTTCAAGGAGGTGCATCTGCATCTATCTACACATTATACTATTAACTAATATAAAATATGGAATTGTACATGTATATTGTGTAGATAAATGTAATGTCAAATTCAAATCGCGCGAGTATTTGATTGAATATATTTCGCTCAGTGAAATCATACTTAATCTCTGTAGTCGATAGTTGACATTATTGTTCGGATATACCCCGCTGCCGCGCGACATGCTTAGTGTTCACAGGGAAGGAGTAGGGGAGGATCCCCCCCCCCCTGTCAGGATACAAAATACATAGGAAAACTTGTGCAAGTTTTTGGGAGAGGGAGAGGGGGGGTGCAAGTGCAACCTGCTTGCACGATGGCCGGTAACAATATTTTAGTTTTAGACTAATAATAATATTGTTTTTAGTGAAGTACCTTTAGTTTGTATAATGAAAAAATTCAAATTAAAGTTTTTAAAACTTTTTGAATATAATTAATTACGTGGGTTCGTATTTATAAGTACAAAAAGGGAAATAAGAGGCGTAAGTTACACGAACTCTTTTATTTACTAAGAATAGACTTGCAACTAATAAATTATTGACGATTTTTACGTGAAACAATTCAAATCTTTCATAGCGATGGTTTTCGGCGACTACAAGAACCTGTACAGCGCCAAAAGAGTTTTGAGACTTTCAATACACACAAATGTACATTCACTCTTCAAAAGACCGAATTTTTTATTGTCATAAAATTCGATTTTGTGACTTTATAAATTGATAATTATTTTACCTCGAGTCAAGTTCAAAACATTATCACACCCAATATAGTCGTAATCCATAAATGCAGTATGCGTAATTGGTGTACGGCCTCGTTTGGCGAGATTGCGTGAATCATATGTATCATGTATCATCAGACTTACCTGCGTTGGGTCGAATCCTTGCGAGTTTGAAGCGTGAGTCAGTTAATTGGTGTAACTTTTTTATCGATAGACCTTGACATTGTTTGGTACCTCTGGTCTCTAATGTGATCAAGCCAGAAATGGTATATTTAAAAATGACAAAAAATATTGTCAATGCTATTTCAGTGGACTTTTTTATAACATGATCATTAGAGCGCTGGGAGCTCTCAGTTCAACTCAATTTAAGACTGGCAACTTTAGTGCCGTTACTATAAAAAAAAAAGCCTTAAAAGGCTCCCGAAGTGATATCATAATTTTAGCACGGTCCACAAAAAAGTTCGATAGTTAATAAAGTTACTCAATCTGTATTCAGGCTAGTCTCTGGGCTCTATTTGCCTCTTAATATCAAAAGGACAAAATTCATCCTTAACAGTAGAACATAAAAACTTATTTGCTTTACACTTAATATAAACGAATAATAGTAGTGTAACGTTATTAAATTTTACTACTTCATGGCAATTATTATTAACGCATCCTGCATAGATACTAAATTTGTTTTATAGCGTCACATAGTTAAAAACAATAGCGTCATAGCTTGGCAAATTTTAACGATTACATTTTTTATTATGCTGAAAGGAGTTCAAATTCCTTTAAATTATCTTTTATTTTATTTCATAACTCAGAAATGAGAGGTTTGTGCTCCGCAGTGAGACTTATGCTGTAACTTTACTTTTTTATACTGTATACAGTAAATCTTGCCCAAAAATATAACAAATCTAATCTATCTTAAGATTTGTAAATCATTTAAAACATAACACATTACCGTCTAATTATAAATGGGTGGGTAAGATCGGAGAAGAAATCTTCAGTTGTTTGCACAATGCCTGCTGAGTTTCGTAAGCTTGAAGCTCTAACAAAAAGTTTTTAATTATATTTTTCTTGTTAAATTAACCATTTCGAAAACATGTATTGAGAAGAAATGAAATATCTTTATTTCTTAAATGTAAGAATTATTTTTTTTGTCAAAAGTCTCTTCAATACCTCTAGCCACAGAAGAAATGGCGAAATAAATTCTGCTAGTATCTTTTTTGTCAATTTTTTAATGGTGTTTTATAGAAATAATAACATTTACAGTTCAATTGGCATGCTATCTATCTAATATTTATTCTATTATTAAAACTTCACGCAAAATTTTGAGTTTATCAGTGCTCAACAAATTTGGGCAAACCAGCCTTCACAAGCAGCAATATTTACCTGATATGAATAAACACCTTGATAAAATAAGTTTCCATGTCAAATATATTATGATTCATGCAGTCTCGCTAGAGACGTTTTGATCTGTGATGTGCTAACATGTGTTTATTAGATAGAAATTCTCGTAATAAAGGAGAAGCGCCGCCGGTTGGCCGTATTATGTACTTTCGATATCGAAACAAAAACTTGCGGTGAATGTGTGTAGACGTAGTATATTATGTAAGGACAAAT